TGTAAGGGCCGGGTTGGTTCAGCATTTTGGAGGAAAATATTATTTTTTTTTATTAGGCTAGTTTCCCCACAATGAATGTACATACATGCCATTAAATGGATCCTGACCCCCATATCCCTTTGACAGGGGGGTAGGGGCAAATATTGTAAAAATTTGAATTATTACAACTTTTCTGGCCGAAGTTGTAAGGGCCGGGGTGGTTCAGCATTTTGGAGGAAAATATTAATTTTTTTTATTAGGCTAGTTTCCCCACAATGAATGTACATACATGCCATTAAATGGATCCTGACCCCCATATCCCTTTGAAAGTGGCGTAGGGGCATCTATTGAAAAATTTGAATTTTCACAACTTTCGGGCCGAAATGGTAAGGGCCGGGGTGGTTCAGCATTTTGGAGAAAAATATATTTTTTTTAATTGGCTAGTTTCCCCATAATGAATGTACATACATGCGATTAGATGGATCCTGACCCCCATATCCCTTTGACAGGGGGGTAGGGGCAAATATTGTAAAAATTGGAGTTATCACAACTTTCGGGCCGAAATGGTAAGGGCCGGGGTGGTTCAGCATTTTGGAGGAAAATATTATATTTTTTTAATAGGCTAGTTTCCCCACAATGGATGTATATACATGCCATTAGATGGATCCTGACCCCCATATCCCTTTGACAGGGGGGTAGGGGCAAATATTGTAAAAATTTTAATTATCACAACTTTTCGGGCCGAAGTTGTAAGGGCCGGGGTGGTTCAGCATTTTGGAGGAAAATATTAAAAAATTTATTAGGCTAGTTTCCCCACAATGAATGTACTGTATATACATGCCATTAGATGGATCCTGACCCCCACATCCCTTTGAAAGGGGCGTAGTGGAAAATATTGAAAAATTTGAATTATCACAACTTTCGGGCCGAAATGGTAAGGGCTGGGGTGGTTCAGCATTTTGGAGGAAAATATTATTTTTTTTTATTAGGCTAGTTTCCCCACAATGAATGTACATACATGCCATTAAATGGATCCTGACCCCCATATCCCTTTGACAGGGGGGTAGGGGCAAATATTGTAAAAATTTGAATTATTACAACTTTTCTGGCCGAAGTTGTAAGGGCCGGGGTGGTTCAGCATTTTGGAGGAAAATATTAATTTTTTTTATTAGGCTAGTTTCCCCACAATGAATGTACATACATGCCATTAAATGGATCCTGACCCCCATATCCCTTTGAAAGTGGCGTAGGGGCATCTATTGAAAAATTTGAATTTTCACAACTTTCGGGCCGAAATGGTAAGGGCCGGGGTGGTTCAGCATTTTGGAGAAAAATATATATTTTTTTTAATTGGCTAGTTTCCCCATAATGAATGTACATACATGCGATTAGATGGATCCTGACCCCCATATCCCTTTGACAGGGGGGTAGGGGCAAATATTGTAAAAATTGGAGTTATCACAACTTTCGGGCCGAAATGGTAAGGGCCGGGGTGGTTCAGCATTTTGGAGGAAAATATTATATTTTTTTAATAGGCTAGTTTCCCCACAATGGATGTATATACATGCCATTAGATGGATCCTGACCCCCATATCCCTTTGACAGGGGGGTAGGGGCAAATATTGTAAAAATTTTAATTATCACAACTTTTCGGGCCGAAGTTGTAAGGGCCGGGGTGGTTCAGCATTTTGGAGGAAAATATTAAAAAAATTTATTAGGCTAGTTTCCCCACAATGAATGTACTGTATATACATGCCATTAGATGGATCCTGACCCCCACATCCCTTTGAAAGGGGCGTAGTGGAAAATATTGAAAAATTTGAATTATCACAACTTTCGGGCCGAAATGGTAAGGGCTGGGGTGGTTCAGCATTTTGGAGAAAAATATTTTTTTTTTTTAATTGGCTAGTTTCCCCATAATGAATGTACATACATGCGATTAGATGGATCCTGAACCCTATATCCCTTTGAAAGGGGCGTAGGGGCAAATATTGTAAAAATCTGAATTATCACAACTTTTCGGGCCGAAGTTGTAAGGGCCGGGGTGGTTCAGCATTTTGGACGAAAAAATTATATTTTTTGAATAGGCTAGTTTCCCCATAATGAATGTACATACATGCAATTAGATGGATTCTAACGCCTATATCCCTTTGACAGGGGCGTAGGGGCAAATATTGTAAAAATTTGAATTATTACAACTTTCGGGCCGAAATTGTAAGGGCCGGGGTGGTTCAGCATTTTGGAGGAAAATATTAATTTTTTTTATTAGGCTAGTTTCCCCACAATGAATGTACATACATGCCATTAAATGGATCCTGACCCCCATATCCCTTTGAAAGTGGCGTAGGGGCATATATTGAAAAATTTGAATTTTCACAACTTTCGGGCCGAAATGGTAAGGGCCGGGGTGGTTCAGCATTTTGGAGAAAAATATTTTTTTTTTTTAATTGGCTAGTTTCCCCATAATGAATGTACATACATGCGATTAGATGGATCCTGAACCCTATATCCCTTTGAAAGGGGCGTAGGGGCAAATATTGTAAAAATCTGAATTATCACAACTTTTCAGGCCGAAATTGTAAGGGCCGGGGTGGTTCAGCATTTTGGAGGAAAATATTATATTTTTTTAATAGGCTAGTTTCCCCACAATGGATGTATATACATGCCATTAGATGGATCCTGACCCCCATATCCCTTTGACAGGGGGGTAGGGGCAAATATTGTAAAAATTTTAATTATCACAACTTTTCGGGCCGAAGTTGTAAGGGCCGGGGTGGTTCAGCATTTTGGAGGAAAATATTAAAAAAATTTATTAGGCTAGTTTCCCCACAATGAATGTACTGTATATACATGCCATTAGATGGATCCTGACCCCCACATCCCTTTGAAAGGGGCGTAGTGGAAAATATTGAAAAATTTGAATTATCACAACTTTCGGGCCGAAATGGTAAGGGCTGGGGTGGTTCAGCATTTTGGAGAAAAATATTTTTTTTTTTTAATTGGCTAGTTTCCCCATAATGAATGTACATACATGCGATTAGATGGATCCTGAACCCTATATCCCTTTGAAAGGGGCGTAGGGGCAAATATTGTAAAAATCTGAATTATCACAACTTTTCGGGCCGAAGTTGTAAGGGCCGGGGTGGTTCAGCATTTTGGACGAAAAAATTATATTTTTTGAATAGGCTAGTTTCCCCATAATGAATGTACATACATGCAATTAGATGGATTCTAACGCCTATATCCCTTTGACAGGGGCGTAGGGGCAAATATTGTAAAAATTTGAATTATTACAACTTTCGGGCCGAAATTGTAAGGGCCGGGGTGGTTCAGCATTTTGGAGGAAAATATTAATTTTTTTTATTAGGCTAGTTTCCCCACAATGAATGTACATACATGCCATTAAATGGATCCTGACCCCCATATCCCTTTGAAAGTGGCGTAGGGGCATATATTGAAAAATTTGAATTTTCACAACTTTCGGGCCGAAATGGTAAGGGCCGGGGTGGTTCAGCATTTTGGAGAAAAATATTATTTTTTTTTAATTGGCTAGTTTCCCCATAATGAATGTACATACATGCGATTAGATGGATCCTGAACCCTATATCCCTTTGAAAGGGGCGTAGGGGCAAATATTGTAAAAATCTGAATTATCACAACTTTTCAGGCCGAAATTGTAAGGGCCGGGGTGGTTCAGCATTTTGGACGAAAAAATTAAATTTTTTTAATAGGCTAGTTTCCCCATAATGAATGTACATACATGCAATTAGATGGATCCTGACCCCCACATCCCTTTGAAAGGGGCGTAGTGGAAAATATTGAAAAATTTGAGTTATCACAACTTTCAGGCCGAAATGGTAAGGGCCGGGGTGGTTCAGCATTTTGGAGGAAAATATTTTTTTTTTTTAATTGGCTAGTGTCCCCATAATGAATGTACATTCATGCGATTAGATGGATCCTGAACCCTATATCCCTTTGAAAGGGGCGTAGGGGCAAATATTGTAAAAATCTGAATTATCACAACTTTCGGGCCGAAATTGTAAGGGCCGGGGTGGTTCAGAATTTTGGAGGAAAATATTAATTTTTTTTATTAGGCTAGTTTCCCCATAATGAATGTACATACATGCCATTAGATGGATCCTGACCCCCATATCCCTTTGACAGGGGCGTAGTGGTAAATATTGTTAAAATTTGAATTATCACACCTTTCGGGCCGAAATGGTAAGGGCCGGGGTGGTTCAGCATTTTGGAGGAAAATATTATATTTTTTTAATTGGCTAGTTTCCCCATAATGAATGTACATACATGCGATTAGATGGATCCTGACCCCCATATCCCTTTGAATGGGGCGTAGTGGTAAATATTGTAAAAATTTGAATTATCACACCTTTCGGGCCAAAATGGTAAGGGCCGGGGTGGTTCAGCATTTTGGAGGAAAATATTATATTTTTTTAATTGGCTAGTTTCCCCATAATGAATGTATATACATGCCATTAGATGGATCCTGACCCCCATATCCCTTTGACAGGGGGGTAGGGGCAAATATTGTAAAAATTTGAGTTATCACAACTTTCGGGCCGAAATGGTAAGGGCCGGGGTGGTTCAGCATTTTGGAGGAAAATATTATATTTTTTGAATAGGCTAGTTTCCCCACAATGAATGTAGTGCACATTTCATTATGGGCTGTGCCTATTGAAAACAAGGGCTTCAATGTACCGCCATGGCTGAGACACTGATAACACGTAGGACCATGCATCTCAGATTTAACATTGTTAAATGATGCCTTTAAGGAGGCGCAATCGATTACTGGTAGAGCAGTGGCCTTGTAACCTGGAGGTCCCAGGTTCAAAACCAAGTCAATGCGCTAGTGCCCTTTGGTAAGGCTTTAATCCTCTTTACCAAGTACTACGGAGAGGACTTAGAGCCGTTGGTCCCCTGGTTGCTTAATTACAAGCATACAAATGCTTTTTTAGCAGTCAAATAAAACAAATAAACAACAAGCAATATTGTTATTTAGATTTATTCAGAGGGATTTGTTGATGTTTTTAGTATGCAGTTATGCAGTGCCATTGGTTTCCTTTCTATTTTCTAATTTTCTTAGGAACAAGACAGCTCTATTGACTGATGAGCGTGTGCGGATTATGAATGAGATCATCTCAGGAATGCGGATCATCAAGATTCATGCATGGGAATTCCCCTTTTCAGACCTGGTCAGAGAATCAAGAAGGTATTTACAGATATTTTAAATTATTAAATCAAATTTATCACATCAAAACATTTTGGAATAAAGCTATTATTAAATATTCACGAAAGTTTTGCATCACAATCATATCACAGCGCATATCATTGTTCATAAAGCAGACATAAACATCCATGATTAAACAGTAATTTGGGAGAAAAAAACAGCATTCTTTTCCCTGCTACTTTGAAAGCAAACTCTGATTGAATATTCATTTGATTGAAAGGCAGGAAATTCCATATGTCAGGGCCACTATGTATAATTGATTTATGTGCTATAGCAGTTTTCGGATTGGATAGGTGAAATTTATTTGACTGTCTGGTAGAATAAGAATGTAAGCTTTTGTTTTTCTTAAAAAGGTCAGTAATCTACCCATTCTTCTATCCATCCATCCCTTTATCCTTCCATGATTGTTTTCCTTCTATCATTTCATCTACATGTTCATCCATGTACTCTTCCATCCATCCTACCATACATTCTTTCATTCATCTTTCCATCTGTTCATCTATTCATCTTTATTAATTTATCTTCCATTAATCATCTATCCATTTATTCATCCGTCCATCTATCCATCCATTTATTCATCCATTCTTCCATATATTGCTTTTCATCCTTCTGGATCAGTGACAACTCATGGCTTTGTAACTTGCAATATCCTGTTTGAATCGTATAGGTACTGTAGTATTTATTTATTCAATCTGTAACAACAGATCAAAAAGAGAAAAAGAACATTTACTCCATTGTTTAAAGGTATTACAAAGTTTTGGGAAATTTTGAAAAATGGGTGGATAGTGATTCTTTACAATTTTGATATCTTTGGATGCCCCTGTGGAGGTATTAAAAGCACTAGAAATTTTAGCCCCTAAAACACTTCTGCTTTCGAGAAAAATTGAATAGAAAGATTTACCGGTGCTCCCGGTAAATTTTGATAAATTTCAAATAGCTCCTACGGCCGTACAGTGGTAGCTGCGACCATGAAAATCTCAGAATATGTAGTTGTGCTATATAATTTCCGAACAGGAATAGCTAATCGGCCGATTTTAGTCAAGAAACATTGTTTTACAGCTTAATTAATATCTTGACCTTGAGAGGGAGCTAATGTATACAACAAAGTATTTATTATTTACAATTTTATCACTTTAGAGTCGATTTCGACCGCGACAACGATCAGTGAATATTGTAGGTTCGCATATGCTTCCAATATGTTTATTTGAACCAAATTCACGACCACATACCAAAACTTTGTATTACCTTTAAACCATTGCCATGAACATGAACATATGACTAATATAACAGTTGTTTTGTTTGGAGATGAAATAGTAATATCTATCATCGTAAGAGTCATGCCCCAAATTGGTTTAGTTTAGTGCTTTAAAAGTACACATTCGTGAATCAATTTGACCTGACCTACTTAAATATTATTTATAATAAGTATTACAAATTCACCCTTTCATAGAAACTCAAAAAATGACCCCTGACCTTGTCAATTTGACTGTTCTCCAACCCAGAGTAGTTAAACTAACAGTAACAACAATTTCATTACTTTGACCAATTTCACCTTTCACATTACCTTAATGAGGTCATTTGACCAGTAAATATTCACCTTATGAATTAAGTCTGTTCATATCAATATTTCTGAAAAGATGTATCCATTTCTAGTTCCATCGACCATGCCAAGGGCAACTGAAATGCAATTTCAATTCGCATAAATTAGCTTCAAATGATGTGAAAAGCAATACCCAATATAAACAGCAGTTCATATAACATACATCCTCACATATGCCAGTTAACATGAAATGCACAAATGCAATTCCTATTCATATTACATTCAGCTTTGCTTGATATGCAAATTACCGGTAAGCTTCTCATCGATATCTGTATGTGTAACACCAACGCACACGCAAAGTGAAACTGCATACATCATGTATATAAATTAGTATTCTGTACCACCTGTTAAATAAGTCATATCTAGGGTTTATATTGTCCAAAGTTTGTTAGTTCTCATTCTCATAAACTAACTTTCTGGCAGGATATTGTGATTTTTCAGTTCGTTTTTCTGCATTCACAGACAGTAGAAAATGGGCTGCAAACATGGCTCAACCCATCTTGCTTGTAGTGCGATAAAATGGCGATGTCGTATAGCGAAAACAATACATTTACCATGCGAAGCGGCTTTCCAAATTCTTGAAGTACACTCATGTCTTGCACATAAATTACTGCGTCGTCCATTTAACAAAGAACAAGGAAAAGCAGGAAATTCTTATTACATGAAAATCAAGTCGCCTTCAATCAATCGCTAGGCGAAACATCCTTTCTTTCATCTACCTCTTCATCTTTCCTCTTGTCTTGTTATTTACCTGTTCATCCTTCCTTCCATCCTGTCTTCCATCCTGTCTTCCATTCATTCATCCGTCCGTCCGACCCCTTCAGGAAAGAAATGGCCAAAGTGATGCGCTCTACCCACCTGCGTACTTTCAACATCGCAGCCTTCAAATCTGCCACTGCTATCATCTCCTTCGCCACCTTCACCGCCTACGCCCTCACCGGTCACGTTCTCACGCCCAGCATCGTCTTTCTCGCCATCCCGCTCTTCAATGCCGTCCATCTCACGGTCGTTCTCTGCATACCCACCTGCATCATGTACGGCAGTGAGGGGCTCATTGCTGTGCGCAGAATACAGGTTAGAAATTTCTTATATTCTTATTTTCGAATTAGTGAATTAATTCACGAGCCTCCTGCAATTGTGTACCTCATTCTGCAGTTATTAAAACCTTTTCAGGACAATCATTCCATATTTTGTGATGTGACTCAATAATTTTTTATTCAGAGCCCCCCAAGAATATACCAGGGGGGTGTTTCACAAAGATCCTAAGTCGAACTTAACTCTAAGTTGGACTTTTTGTAGCCTTAAAATAAAATATATTCAAAAGCAAAAATTAAATTATTTTAGACTTTTCATAAATTCCACATCAAGAACATGAAATCTCCATGACAATAGAAATGAGAATGATTTGAATATTTTGTTTATCCTAATGAAGGAATTTCTTATGATGGAGGAATTGAAGACATTGAAGCATGCAGACTCCTTCTCCTCCATCTCGTCCGATGCTAACCTTCCCATCCCTGAGCAGATCGGAGAACCCCTGGAAGAATCTGAGACGAACGATAGAAGAAAAGATGAGGAGAGGACAGATACCATCGCCAGCAATGACGTTACTGTAGCGTTCCTCCCTAACGACAACAAGGAAAAAGATCAGCTGGTTGAAGATGGCCCAGATGGTCTAGCCATGAAGCATATGAATGATAACAGAGAGGAAGAGGAGAAAGAAGAAGAGAGGAGAAAAAGCAAAGAAGGATCAAATCGGGATGTTGATGGGGATGATGGGACTCCTGAACGTGAAGAAGATGATAATGACATCATTCTTAGGAACCTAGGAGGATCTTGGGATGCCAAAGTAAGCCAACTCAGCCAAAATGAAAATGATGGGATGAACTGTATCAAAAATCTGTCCCCATCGTACAAAACAGTTTGCAATTTTATGATCCAATTGGCTTGAAGTCCTCAAATCAGTTACAAAGTTACAATGGACTTTATTACAGGAAATGTTCATTGGTTGGAGTAATAATATGTAGTTAAGGCTTCTACCAACCTATTAGTAGGCATACTATTGTCTACTCCTGTGGACTTTCTCAAGCCGAGTGATTCTTCACACAGTTTATTGCTGTCTGCTGCCTCAAGATCTCTGGAGCAAAGATATGTGATAGGGAATAACTAGAGTCCACAAAGGATTAATCCTTTTGATCCAGATGGAGTCTTTCACAAAGTATATAATTGACCATTTTATGTGAACCAGGTGGGTGTTTCACAAAGACTAAGATCGACTTTGAGTCGGACTTAACTATGCCAGGCCATTCATGCCACTGGTTGCCCTCACCATTAGGCACTCAATCATGATCTTTAGATAAAACTTTTTCCTTCAATAATGAACTATAAAAAAATGTAAATTCTGTAGATTCGTGACCACTATTTGTACGTCTCTTGAGAAACTAATGCCAGGAATGGTTAGAGGAACTAGTGGCATGAAAGACCTGCCATAGTTAAGTTCAACTTAAAGTCGATCTTAGTCTTTGTGAAACACTCCCCAGGAGATGCATTTGATATCTTAAACCCAAAATTATAGTAATTTCATGCCAGTCCTGAGACCCTCAATGTAAGCTTACAGGATAAGATTTTTAAAAGTCTTTGACATATACTTTATAGGTTGAATTGTGTGTATCTTCCAAAATGTCAGAGGAAAAAACATGAAATAGGCTAAGAAAAAGAAAGATTTTATCATCTATGATTATCCATTTCCATCACTCTGTAGCATAAGCACACAATAAAGCAAAAAAACTTGTTAAACTTGTCGTAATTTGCTACAAAGTGCAAGTCCTCAAAAAAAATATAAATACTTGTCGTAGGGCATAAGCACACAGGAAGGTAAAAACCGTGTTCAACTTGTCTTAATTTGCTAAAAATTGCAAGTCTTCATAAAGAAATGTATGTTTGTGTTTTCCCTTTTCTCTGTCCTGGCATGATGCAGAGTGTTGATGACAAAGTTGGTTTCACTCTGAAGAACATTGATTTTTCTCTGCGAGCTGGACAGCTTGTAGCCATCATTGGGCCTGTGGGTAGTGGCAAGGTGAGATTTACAATCAGTTTCTTCTTCATCTTCATAGTCTTCATTTGATCGGTATAGTTGAATTGAACAATTTTTCTGTTTACACAGTCAAATTTAATGTATACCTCGTGGGTCTTTCGCCAACAAATATTGGCAGGCTTCATTAGAAGACTGGTGATGAAGACTAGCTGCAGATTGGGATAACGCGGCCCAACAGCCCAGTCTTTTGATATCAAACAAAAGTACATAGAGGAAACAACCAAACAATCAAACAACACATAAAATATATGAGTTAAAAGTACATATACATGTAATTGATGTGTGAGTGTGCGCATTCACAGTGGGGGTCTGTTGGAGTTCAGGCCCATAGTGTTATATATCTTGTATGGATAACTCAGCTCGGTACACACCAACACATACCGATACGCAATTAGTTTAATTCACATTGGTATATTTGATGATTCAGATATGATTTATACTCGCACACCCAGTAACGTCCATCTTGTGGATAATCAGCAAGTCAACAAAACAGGACGTCAAAATGGATTACATATTGAAGCATACCTAAATTTCTGTGTATAAGACACTTTTTTCCTGAATTCGGGGGTGCGTGTTATTATTATTTTTTTTAAAGTGTTGATTTATGCCCCCTCCACCTGCACTGTGCCTCGCAGTGTCTCCCAGCTCGGTCATACAAGGTGTGTTGACTCACCACTCGCACCAATACAGTCATAGTAAGATACTGTAGGAGGTTATTTGAAGTGGCACAGTAAAACTAAACTAGATTATATAATCTGTAATCCAGGTTACAGAGTTGCAACAGTAATGTACTCTCACTATTTCTCACCTGGGTTATAGTGATGGCACAACATCGAACTGTAGGATCGAACTACAACAACACTACCTGTAAGGCCGGATTTCTGTTTGGACTTATAGGAAAATTTGTCTGTCATCTTTAGTTTTAAAAATGTCATTGTTACTATTATTTGCGACAAGTTCACGAGAACAAATCGGCGCCTTCAACTGCACCTTGCAGTAAAATAAAGGTCCTTTCCCGCGTGCGTTTTGAACATGGATCTGGCGTGCTGCCTATAGAGTCGGCAAAAAATGAAAAAATAGGGGTGCATCTTATACACAGAGATTTTCCGTATACATATGGATAATATAAGTGATATCGATAATAACAATAACATAACACATAGTATTTTTTCATGATTAACATTTATTTGTCAAGCACTACATACCTTGTGTGCTGTGAATGAGCATATGATACCATTCTTTTTCTCCCACCAGTCTTCCCTTCTCATGGCTATGATGAATGAGCTCCCAACACAGACTGGTGATGTTATTGTCAGTGGTAAAATAGCCTATACAGCACAGCAGCCATGGGTATTCTCTGGCACGCTAAGGGATAACATTCTCTTCGGCAAGAAGCTTGACCCAGACAAATACAAGGAGACCCTGAAAGTTTGTGCGCTCAAAATGGTGAGGGGTCGCTCTGAAATTTTAAAGTTCATTTTCAAAATTTTCTGTAGCAGACATGCGTTCGTGAGACAAATTGCATCTATACTGTACTTCATTTGATTACATATTTAGGTTTAAGAAATCACGGAAGCTTGTGATAGAAACGGAGATACATTGGAAAAAAAACTATTAAAGCACAAAACCTTATGACAGAGATCAATCTGCAATATCTGTTTTGTTGAACCGTAAATGAATAGCAACGGCACACAACAAAAGTTGTGAAATGCTTGCATATAAAAAGAACCAAAATTACATGATTTAAATATGTTACTGCTTCACTGTATAGGTGCAGTTTCATTGATATTTTATATCTGATATTTGTGGAAATGTATTCTGAGACCAATTCGATGTCTTACATGTAGTTTACTTTATATATATATATATATATATATCAAAGACTTATATGTATACATATAAGATGTTCAGTGTATGTTTATGTTATTCATGTTGTCAACAAAGTGACAATATGTGCTGTCGGAAGAACAGGATCTTACTAAATATTGAAACATCTTCTTGACTTCTTCACATCTATAGGACATTGAACTTTTACCTGATGGTGACCTCACGCTGGTCGGAGACAGGGGCATCACATTGAGTGGAGGTCAAAGGGCAAGGGTCAGCCTGGCCAGGGCTGTATACCGTGAGGCCGATGCTTACCTATTGGATGATCCTCTCAGTGCTGTGGATACAGCGGTCGGAAGGCATCTGTTTGATAAGTAAGAAATAGTTTCAGGTGCTCTGGCATCCGCCCCTGTATCGATTGCACTGGGCTGTATGCCATTAAAGAGGTTGGGTTAGGATTGCGGTTTAGGTTCAGTGCAAGTTTAGGGTTTGGTCAATGGGTTTACTGTTTGGTCTGTGGTTGAAGTTTATAATTTAGCTAGTGAAGGATATTGACTGCAGAACTGTTGCCATTGTTTGTTTTGGGGGTGATTTTTTTAATGACGATAGATGAATTAATCTCTGTCTTTCTCTTTCCTCCCAATTTACATTTTCTCTCCTGTCCTTTCTTTCTTTCTCTCTCTATTTCTCCTTTGGGTGTCTCTCTCTCTCTCTCTCTCTGTCTCTCTCCTCTATCTCCCTACCTTTATCCCTCTCTCTTTCTCTTCTACATTTGTAGATGCATCAAGGGTCATCTAAGAGACAAACTGGTTGTTCTCGTCACTCATCAGTTACAGTACCTGGATGCAGCAGACTGTATAGTAGTCCTCAAAGATGTAAATATATTTATTTTATTGCTGTCTTATAATTGTTGTAATTTTACAGTCCAATAGGCTTATCAAGTTTGAGACTCTGTTAGAATCATTCTCCTCATTTGATTGAATATATCTGCCTTCATTATTTGTTTTTGCTGAATTGTATATCCAAGTTTGCAGTTTAGTACGTATCTATTTATCTGCATAAAAGTGATATATTCACACTTTTATCATAATAATTGTTGTGAGATTGTTTCGATGACAATGATGATGATGAAGAAGATGATGATGACGATGATGATATACATGTACATTAGGGGAAAGTTAGGACAACACCTATTCTGAACCGCTCCAATCTGTGGTTTCCTTTGATGATTTTTTGTGACCAGGGTGAAATGGTAGCATGCGGAAGCTTCGAGGAGCTCCAGACCACCGGGATAGATTTCGCTGCTCTCCTCAAGGAGCATGAATCACTTAAGCAAGAAGACGTTGTCTCGAGGACCAGCTCAATTTATTCAATCCCCGGCGCTATTGCAACAGAGATCAATCCACTCGCTGATGATATCATTCTTGAGGTGGGTGTTCATCTTGCTGTGATATTCAAAAGTTGCTCCCAATATTCTTTGACAATTCTTGTTATTGTTTCAATCTAGTCATCGATATGATTTGGAGTATCTCTTTCTTGATTTTTCATTGCTACGTACTGTCACACTGTCACCTTCAGAAAGGTAATGATTATTTTATGTCATTTAAATATTTGACAGGCTGATGAGAAAGCAAGCAATAGACAAAAAGAGACCAAGTCTGAAGGCACAGTGACTTACAAGGTCTATGTGACATTCTTCAGGGCGGGGGCCGGTATTCTTGGATTCTCCATCTTCATGCTCTTCAATGTTAGCAGTCAGGTGGGTGAAGAAATACAGTGAAACCTGCGTATGAAGACCCATTTGTGACATTACTTTTGGCTTACATGTATATACATAGTTTATTAAAGGAAGGGTATTCTACTGACACTACTTCAGATACATGTACACTGCCATCTGCTACTCACAATGTTCTGATGTGTCGACAGCCGTGTCCCACAATGCATTACCAACTGCATGACGCACTCGTGATGATGCATGGGTACCGGGACCCGAAATTGCTTGATGTACGCCTTCACAGAAAGATGGCGCAATTGAAAATATGTTACAGCATTGGGAGCGATATAGGTACAATACCCTGCCTGTAAGTCATTGCTTTTAAAATGCATTCTTTACTTCACAAAAGGTGAGATGCCAGTTAAATACAAATTCATATTAAAATTCATATTCTATTTCAAACTCAAATTAAAAGTCATTCTCAATTTCAAGCTCAAACTCAAATTTAAAGTCAGACTCAAATCTGTATTCAAATTGTTTAATGAAATGTAATCTTGACATAAATCTGTGAGTTCCCATCCACCTAAAGTTATATAACTTGGGCCCCATTTCATTTAACTTGTTATACCGGTAAGTAACAAAATTCAATAATTGTTATAACCTACTGAAATCGTTGAATTTGATTGGCTGTAAGCAAATTTGTTACAGAAATGTGAACCTTCAGTTGCTATAGATTTTTTAAATCATGAAACTGGGCCCCTAGACCTGATAGATCCCCACTGTAGAATTACACAAGGCAATGTATTGTTCTTTTCTCTAACCAGGCGTTCATGAACCTCACTGATTGGTGGTTAGCGCAATGGGCTTTCGCTGAGGAGACGGCGTGTGCTGAGTTACTCAATCGTTCATGCATAGTCGATACGGTCTTGCCGGTAAGTTGAGGACAAGGAAATATTACAGAGAATGTTGAGTTCTGGGAAAGGTTAAAAATAATCTCTTGTTCTTTCCATGTCAGTGTGGGAACATATCATAATGAGAATGACCCCATAAAAGAGTAGCTCTTCACCTTCCCTCATGTTCGATAGTAAAATAAATAGCTGAAAAGTTTGTACCAAACTTTCATGAAACATAAATGTGTAGTCCCATATACCTATTTGATGCCCCATTTGGAATGATTATGTTATCATGAAATGGGCAGTAAACATGAATATGGGGCCAAGTCAAAAGTGAAATGTTTCAAAATGCATAAAATTGTTATTGTCAATAGCATTTTTTTGGAGGATGAATTGTGTTTTCAAGAAAAACAATTGATGCATTTCGCATCATTTCAATTGTGACTTGGCCCTATTTTCAGGCGTACTGCACAGTCCATGTTTACATACGGTAATCATTACAAATGGGGCATTTTGTAAAGGGGAATAAAGAGGCTTTTCAATAATACCAACGTCAGATATTAATCATATAGTAACAAGGGAGATATCAATGCTCGAACTGTATTGCAGAACTTTTTTTGAAGACTTTATTATTTCTTCCATGATCATTTCAGAATAAGACGTTTGTAGTTGAGATGGATGTCGACCGGCCGTACTATATTCAAAACCTGGCCATCTTCCTCGGTCTCTTCATCCTCTTCTGCTTCATTCGTACCTATCATTTTTTCATCATTCTCGTCAACGCCGCCACCGTTCTGCACAATAGAATGTTTGAAGCTCTCATCAGGGCCCCGATGCAATTCTTTGATACAAACTCGATTGGTGAGAACAAGAGCGAGTAACCTAGACCTTAATTGGCATGGTTGGACAATTTAACAACAACAAAAGAAAGAAAGAAAAAAAGGAGAGTGGACAATGTGTGTATTTGGACTAGAAATGGCTTCATCTTTCTTTCAGAAACTAAAACCTTTCTAGATAGTGGCAAAATGGGGGACCACAATAGACAGGTGGTCTTTATAGAGAGGTGGCCACTAATATAGGTCTGACTGAACATTCAATTTAAAGTTAAGTTTCGTGGAAAGATATCTTATACCCAATCTGACAATGTTACAAAGCAATACGAGTCATGTAAATTATTACAATTTTACTTATGACAATTTTATGAAACTGAGGAGCGTAGAAGGGATTAATGACCTAAAAGCCACAGCTTACCATATAACTCTACTTGGCTACATCTCCTATTAAATAGTATTTTCGATAATATGTTCAAAATAACAAAGGATGTTCATCCTCATTACACAAGACATGCTAATGATTTATATATTCCATCGTTAAAATACCATACTTTACGTAGATCAGTTAAATATTCCGGAGTAATTAGTTGGAATGCAATACCTACCCATATAAAAATGTGCCCATCTGTTGCCTCATTTAAACGTAAATACAAGAACTATTTAATGAAGGAATTCCTATCGTATGTTTAATTTAATTAGCCTGTACTCATTTGTTTATTTATTTACTACCCATTGTTTTGTTTTTTTCTCTGTACTTTGTATTATTATCTGAGGACACTGGAGCCCAGCCTTTGAAAGGCCAATGGCCTCTGCTGGCTCCTCCATATTCTTTGTATTATTTATATTTATGTATTTGCTTATATGTATAATGTATTGTTAAATGTATTTTTATACGAGAAATGGAAATAAAAAAATGAACTAGAAGGCGTTAAAAAATGTATGTTCTTTTTTATTATGGTCTCAAGTGGTTATGTGTATATTAAAAATATTGTTAAAGTTGTATAAGAAATTGCATTGGTATACATGTATACGTGTCCCTTTCTACTGAGATTTAACATATTTTATTCACGCTTTGGTTTGTTTTTCAGGGCGTATATTAAATCGATTCTCAAAAGATATCGGTTTAATGGATGAGCAATTACCTATAACCTTTGCAGACTTCAATACAGTAAGTTCTATTATTCACAGGGAATACTTTCAGTACATCATACTAGTACATGTAAAGTAGTCATTTATCATGCAAAAAGATTTGTGTAAAAGTGATCTAAGATTTGTATTCTTAATTTAGTAAAATGTTGTACCATTTTCACCCTCAGTTTATGTGAAGACTGGCAGTACCTGGTAAAATAGAAGTTGATTTCCGGGAAGGCAAGATGTAAACTTTGTACTTGTACTGTCTTCAGCATTCACAGCATATATATATATATATTATAAACATGAATATGTAGGCTTCAAGGTGGGATAATCTATCCTTTGCCAGTACAATAGTGAGTTTGACTGTTTATACCACTCCACCACGACACCTCTGTCATCTTGCTTATGATTTATCTTACAGATATCATTTCATACTCTAGGAGTGATCATCGTTATCAGCATCTTCAACCCAATCGTCTTAATATTCATGGTGCCGCTGTGTGTAGCATTCACCCTCGTCAGACGATACTACCTCGCGTCATCAAGAGATATCAAGAGATTAGAAGGGATAAGTGAGTCCATTTTTCTGTCAGTTATTTGGTTAGTGTGTCAGTTTATTTTTCAGTCAATCGTAGCATCCACTCTATCCACTCTGCAAGTGTCATTACTTGACTTTTTTTCTCCCTCTCCCAGCTCATACATGTAGCTCCGTCTTTGGTCACCTCTTAAACCTTTCTGCAGGGGTTAGTCACCATCAGAGCCTTCAAGGTCCAAGAGGACTTCACCAAGAAGTTTGACATCCATCGGAACACCTGACAAGGACATGGTTCATTGTCCTCTCCATCTGTCTATTCTACACATATTATTTCATTTTGATTCAATGACATTTTCAATTATCTGACTCACTTTAAACTTTCCATAACTCTTCTCTCCCTCTCCCAGCTCGTAGTCCCGTCTTCAGCCACCTCTCGGCCTCTCTGCAGGGGTTAGTCACCATCAGAGCCTTCAAGGTCCAAGAGGACTTCACCAAGCAGTTCGACCTCCATCAGAACACCCACACCAGGACATGGTTTCTCTTTCTCACTTCCAACCGTTGGTTTGGGATCATGCTAGATTGGATGGCCATCACCTTCCTTGCCGTTGTAGCCTTTTTGTGCATCATCTTATCTGATTGTAAGTTGATTATTCAAATTCTATGAATACTTATATTTTTTCATTTCGTATCATATCCTTTTTTTCCCCGTTCTCAGATGCTCTCTCTTGATTGTCTTTTGCTTTAAACATTATTTTATTCCTTTACACACAGTGTACACAATTTCGTCTCCATGCCTTTTTATCTCACCTCTCTTTCCTTTTCCCTGTCCCTTTTTCTTCCCATTGTGGTCTCTCGCATCCTAATCTCCTCTGTGTTTGTTCTTTCTCCTCTTGTGCATTATGCTTGTTTTTCCTTCGCTACCTTTCTTCTCCTACAGTACATGGATCTCTTGTTACTTTCAGTTTTTACTCTCTTCAAATTTCTCTCATTACCATTTCTTTGTTCTTTGTTTTCCTAATCTCTACTGCTGCTGTTTTACTTTTACTTCTCTCTATTTCTACCAAACTATCTGCTATGTTATCTGGTTCTCTGTCGGTGTAACAAATGCTACTGGGCTTTGTTGTCTTTACCTGTATAATAATAATATTTAGCTTTTATATAGCGCTTAATACAAATGTCTCTAAGCGCTTTACAAATATACGTTTCCTGTTGACTTTGTTGTGCACATGTTTTGCTTTGTTAAAGCCCATCTGTACTAGCTTGGCCAGGAGGGATTAGACCACCCAGCATGGTCACTGGCAGGTGGCTATCTCATCAACTCAGCTCTCAATTAACATAAGAAAAAGAGGATCATGGGGGACCAACGGGCACCGCTTAGTCATTGTTTTCTATATAGAGGGAGCAAGTACATTTGTAGCTACAAGTAGTACAGTGGGGCAAACAGAGGGCAAACAAAAGGTATTCATGAAGCACATCTAGGACTTTGGCAGTTATTATTCTAATATGCTCAAAGTGGAACTTCTCCATGTGTAAAAGATCTGTGGATATTTGTACCATGTGCTATCTGACTGACTGACATGAGCGCTATACAACAACCCACTATTATTATTAATTATTATTGTACTTTTTTGTGTGTCCATGACTAATAATTTGAATAGAGTGTTTATCATATTGTACCGATGTACCAATATATTCTCTTCTTATCTCTTTTGTAGTATTTGAGTTGAACTCATCTCTGGTCGGTTTATCATTGACCTACTCTCTTCAGCTGATGGGTAAATTTCAGTGGGGCGTTAGACAAAGTGCAGAGGTAGAAAATTTGGTAAGCTTCTAAAGACAAAGACCACTTATGGTAATGCAATTGCATTGTGAAAGAAACGTTGTGGAATCAATTAGAAAAGGTTGATCATCTAGCATATAAGTATTGGTGTGTACTGCAAGGTTCTGGAATCATAATGATAAGACATTTGGCCCAGTCTTGGTAAAGTTACAAGCACTGTACACAGAAAGATGCATGCATATGGGACTACACGACACGTACACAATATCTATCAGGTACAAATAGATATAATAATTTACCAAATATATCAATTAGTAGGCGGTTTCTCTGCAAAATTTGTATCATATCACGTATTAGTCAAAACATATTCTTTCACATGATTGGTAATAAGAGCTTCCATTTCATTTTTTGAGAGGGGGGGGGGGGTGTTTCCAAAACTGATCTTTACCTTTAAATCTCCTTTAATCTTTAACATCCATGGTAACTTGTTGATCTTAATACTCACCTCTTTCTCATGCAACCCTGCCCTTTAAATCATGAAACATGTAAGTGTAGCATCCTCTCATACAACATGTACATGTGTGGCATGTGTATTGTACCTTAAGATGTTAACTGCATACTTTGTTTTGTGCTTTAGCTTATGTGATGATGATTTATAAAATGAATAGCTCATGTTTTGAAGCTTGTGCATGAGCGATAACATGTACAGTGTATGCACTGCAATTCAGTTAAGCCACAATGAGCCAGGATATTGAACTTGACAAGTCTTGTATTATTATCCGATTGAGACTCGAACCTGCATGCAGTGCATATACTAATGAATTCTCTTGTAAACATGGCTTGCAAGTATTTGTATATTATTCATTTTATGCACCCAAGTACATTCCATGGATATACAGATTCTGAGGGAAAAGCAAATTCTATGCTACTAAAATTGAAACCCAAAGCTGTACTTAAGCTTGGACTATAGTTAGATGATGGAAGAAGGCAGGTTGAAGTTTCCATTCTGTTAAACATTATTTAGTCTCACTTCTGGGTTTTATTGCATGACATATGTAGTAGACTATACAAACCCATGTGTCAAAGAGCGGGTCATAGAGTATTCCTATCGAGAAGAAGATCTACCGGATTGTCATTATTTTCATAGATAAAATTATTCATAGACATATATATGTATGCTTTCCTTATTTTATCAATGCTTAATTCTGTCTCTTGCTCAGATGTCCTTGATTAAGGGTGTTATACATTACTCCTCCCAGCTGAAGCCTAATTTCCTCTGGAAAATGAGAAAGAAGCAGAATGCCATGATTTCCACAAAAAAAATCATTCAGAGATAGAATTCCTTTACTTCAGAGAGGCGTATATTGTATACAATAAAAGTCTATTATTTTAATGTTTAACTCTCTCTCTCTCAGATGACCTCAACAGAGAGGGTCATAGAATACTCACAGCTGAAGCCAGAAGCTCCTCTGGAGAAGGAGAACAAACCTGATGCTGATTGGCCTAAGCATGGCATCATCACGTTTGAAGACGTCTCGGTCTCCTACAGCGATGATGGACCTCTAGTCCTCAAGAACCTCAGATGCTGTATACGAGCAGAGGAGAAGGTCAGTAAATCGAAAAACCTTTAATAGAAAGACCTCGTTCACATTTGATGCTGTAAACCACCTGGATAAGCCACAGCAGCAAAATTAAAACCATTTTTGTGAAGTAAATAAATGGCAAGTAATAACAAAGCCCTTGAGTGAACTCACTTGTCTGTGTGATACAGAAACGTGAAGCAATAAACCCTTTGTCCTTTTGCAGCAGCTTTTTTGTTTGTTTCTTTGTTCGTTTGTTTTATGTTTTTGTTTGGGTGGGTTGTTTTGTGTTTTTTTGCTGCCAGGGGTGGTTTAGCAAGTCATTTAGTACTGCTTAGGATCGACTAAATTCACACTCCCAATTTAAGTGAGTAGTATACCTGCATATTGTAAGAACTCTTTGAAAGATGTAGGTTTCAATCTTACCACAATTGTTTATTATCCTTGCTTTACTTTTGGAGTTAAACAGGTATTATCTAGACAATGATGACAATGATTCTGACAATGATTCTGGGTTCAAGATGGTGTTACGGTAGCGCACATCAAACGCCTAATGACAATTTTTCTTGGTGTATATGCGGTGTTAGATTAATATCAATCTTACACCTATGATTCCTTGTTTATGTTTAGTGTTAGGTTGGAATTGTTGACAGGACAGGAGCAGGTAAAAGTTCTCTCTATAACCACTATAACTATTATTTTTGGTTATGTTGGTATATAAATCAACTGACAACGTAACATCAATGATTATAATTCTTGGTTGTATGTTTCCAACCGTTATTTTGGTGTATATTTGGCAATAGGTTGGTATCGTCGGTAGGACGGGGGCAGGTAAAAGTTCTTTGATGGCTGCCCTCATGAGGTTGACGGAGCCCAAGGGAATCCTGAAGATCGACGGTGTCACCATCACAGAGATCGGTCTCCATTCCTTGAGGAAACGTATATCATTTATTCCCCAGGTGAGACAGTGTTGAGAGATTCTTGGTTTAAAGAAGGAAAGATCAATACATAATTGAAATTATGATTCATTAGTCAGTAAAGCGTCTGCTTGTTGACCCAAGGATCGTGGGTTTAAATCCAGCCCAGGCAGATGACTGAAGCCAGTGTTGTGTGTTACCGTGCCCCTTCCATGTTTCAAAGATGCAGACTGGGTTACAGTGGAAAACACTCTGTCCCTCATTTAAGATGTTAAATGGAGGCCTCGTGTAGAGGAGAGTCACCACCTGTGCATGTTAAGAACCCACTGCACTATTTGTGTAAGAGTAGGGGAAACCCCGGTGTAATTAATGGGTCACCTGCACATCTGTTATACCGATAGGAGAGCCTCGAGGGTCGACGGTGATTCAGTTCACTTTTCCCCTCCCAGGCACAGGTGATGCCAAATACTTGATAATAATAACATAATTTAAATTTAAAAAACAGAGTTGTTGATAATGCATAGCACCCCTTGATGCTAGTTCCAAAGTTAGAGCGTCAAGTACAAGTAGCCAAATGCAAATGTTGGTATTTTCTTATACAGGATGGCATTTTCTTTCTTACATTTATTATACATGTTTATTTACTCTTTCTTTTGAAAGAGAAAAATCATCATTTCATTCAGAGCTACTTACGATTATTTTGTCTACATTATTTTGATATACACATGTACACATAGCAGTACTGGGAATCACTACATGTATGTGAAGAAACTTTCAAGGTCATTGCCACGGAAACCATGTCCTTTTGATGTTTCTTAGGATCCTGTGTTATTTAGCGGAACCCTCAGGAAGAACCTAGACCCATTCAACCATCACACGGATGAGGATATGTGGAATGCATTGGAAGAGGTAGGATAGAAAGCTTTCACAATTTATTATTTCTTTATTTATTATTACCATACACAAGTTAGATTTCCAGTACAGATGAATTACAAGGAAACACATGACAATTGTGGATTTAACAAAGTAGCATTTGCACAATAAATCTACAAAAGCTTCGTGAGGTACATGATTGTATGAGAGCCAATTTCAAATTACAAGTACAGTCAAACTTGTCTATTGAGACCCGCCAAGGAAAACAGAGAGAGTGGTCACTGTAGACAGATGGCCATTCTAGTCAGGTTCTACAACACACATTTCTCTCTCTCTCTCTCTCTCTTTCTCTCTCTTTCTGTCTCTTTCTCTCTCTTTCTCTCTCTCTCTCTCTTTCTTTCTCTCTCTCTCTCTCTCGGGAGACAAAATACATGACTACTATAGACAGGTGGCCTTTCTAGACATGTTCTCAACACACATTTGTTTCCTGAGGGGGACAACATACATGTACATGACTATCATAGAGAGTTCCAATGGCCACTGAGATAGGTTTGATGGTATACAAACAGAACGAATACTTAACTTGTTGGTCATGTGTGATATTGACAACCACCCCCCCCCCCCCCCCCCCCCCCCCCCCCCCTCTACTCACTGTGACCAACTTTCCCCTCATAGAGTTAAGAAAAGATCACACTCTGTTGGGTTAGATGTCATAAGGGGCTACAATATACATATCGTCGCCTGGCTGACAGAAGGGCGTTAGCACTACATTGCCTCAAACTTTTATAAAATTTACATATTTCCAAAAAAGAATTGTGGACGTGTTCTACTATAACAATTCTATTAGTGTTTTAAGTTTTAAACCAATTTTCGGGACGGAAAGCAGTTTAATTATAAAACAAATTTTTAAATGCAAATAATTTGAAAAGTAGTTTTCGAGTCACTTGCGCGCTAACGCCCTTCTGCCAGCCGACGATATGTTTAGGACTACTCGTCCTTGAGGGTAGGTTTTTTTTGAGGGGTGGGGGGGGGGGGGGGGTTGTCATCATGCAGACATTAGTGTTGATTTTCCATCAAATTTCCTCACTATTTCATTTCATTCTATCTCAAGTAAATCACTTTTTAAACCTGATGATGAATCGTCCAGGTTCAACTCAAGCCTGTCGTGGAAGAAAACTCAGAGAAACTGGAGATGGCAATGTCCGAGGGAGGGACAAACTTCAGCGTCGGACAGAGGCAGCTGGTCTGCCTAGCGAGGGCGGTATTACATCGGAATAAGATCCTCATTGTAGACGAGGCCACTGCTAATGTAGACCCTAGGTGAATATACATCACAAAGACAATATGTCCTATTGTGCACATGTAATAATGATAATAACAATAAATATGTCTTCTTTTCCATTCACCTCATCAGTACAAAAATTGTTCTCCCTAAGGGCCCTGCAATCTTAATATTACTCCGGCTTTAGCCCTGGTACCTTGAGAAAGTGCTCAAGCATTCAAGAAATTTCTTCCTACCGGGTACCCATCTACTACACCTGGGTGGAGTGTGGCAAGCCTTAGATTCAGCAGAACAATTTGTTCAGAAAACTTTCCTCATCGGGGGTATCTCTTGAGGTCTTTGGGCGGTAATTGCATTTTGTATCATCTGCGGTTTGTAAAAAACACAATAGATTCTTGGCTGATCTGTATATCACAACTGTAATAGTTTGAATACCTGAATAGCTTCGCATTCCCCCTTGGTAACACTGAATTATATGTCTTGAATGTGTTCTATTTCCAGGACTGACCAGTTGGTTCAACTGACCATTAGGAAGAAGTTCAGGCAGTGTACCGTGCTGACCATTGCCCACAGACTCAATACCATCATGGATAGTGACCGTGTCTTGGTGAGTATTGTATTCTGCTCCAGACCAACGCCAGACCGACAACAGACTGACCCCCCAAAATTACAGTACCCCTTTGGCACAAAATAAGTCAGTTTGGAGTCAGTTTGGCTGTGTAGACCTCCCAACATTTGAATTTCAAAGTTCCTGTTACTTTGCGCAGCTCAGCAAAATTTGTGTCACATCGCGCCATGTCTAGCTTATCGAGAAATAATGATATGCGTCATGCAGCTACCCAACACACATCTTAATGTTGGGCACATTTACATGTGATTAAAGGTATTACAAAGTTTTGGTATGGGGTCATGAATTTGGTTCAAATTAACATAGTGGAAGGGTATGCATTCCTACAATATTCTTTGATCATTGTCGCGGTTGAAATCGAGTCTAAAATTATGAAATTAAAAATAATAAACTTCTCATGTGGTATAGCTCCCTCTCAAGGTCAAGATATTAATTAAGCTATAAAACTATGTTTTTTGACTAAAATCGACCGATAAGCTATTCCCATTTGGAAATTATATATCACAACTACATATTCTGAGATTTTCATGGTCGCAGCTACCATTGTACGGCCATAGGCGCTATTTTAAAATCTATCAACATTTACCGGGAGCACCGGTAAATTTTTATATTCAATTTTTCTTGAAAACAGAAGTGTTTTAGGGGCTAATTTTTTTAGTGCTTATAATACATCCACATGGGCATCCAAATATATCAAAATTGTAAAAATTCACTATCCACCCAATTTTCAAAATTTCCCAAAACTTTGTTATCTTTAAGGGATTGTTTGAAGAAGTTTCAAATTGGATTTTAAAACAATCCAGGGGAACCTGAATAAAAGAGAAGAAAAACAATGAAAAGAGTTAGACATGCAACAAAAACACTCCAGCATTTTTTCATCAGTGGCTTTCATACATGGTCCAAAGTAAAACAGAACTTGAAAACTTAACTTATTATCTGAATAAAAGGAAACAATACTCTGAAATTCATACCATCTTACAGCCTTTTCACACAGGGGTAAAATTCATCGTATCTAGAGCTGATTAGTTTAAAGTTGTTTAACTAACAGCTTTAAGGTAAATTTTCCCTTTGTGAACGTCGTTTATACAATGTTCGGACAGATACGAAGTGGTGATCTATTCCCCGGTCAGAGCAGGCTGCAGATATGCAGTCTGTATCTAGAGAGCACGATATTTTGTTTCTGAATGGATATACGTCCTTAACTGGGCAGAGCTAAGACCTCTACATCGTGAAGATATTGAAATTCTTCCAATGTCGACTTCCTCTTGCTACGTTTCTCAAGGTAGAAGTGAACATCCACTAGCAGCTCTTCAATGTCCACTGGCAGTGATTTTACAGCCTTTTCAGCTGATATGTTCATCAAATGGCATGCACAACCCACGTAGCTGTCTTCATGTGCTTGTTTCAGATGAAATGCTAACCCAGACTTTGTACCTTGCATGGCATTTGCATTGTCAGCACCAAATGACAAACAGTTGCTCCAGCTGATACCTCTTTTGGATAGTTCCAGATCCAGATCCAGTCTTTCAAAAATCTGGGCTACAGTAGACTGTTTAATCTCGACCATAGACATCAATGTGGTACAGACACGCCCGAGGGATTCAGCGAAATATTTCACAACCAGAGGGTACAGTTTGTGATCCCGCTCTCTGCATTTCTGCCTCTAGTTCGAACAAGCAACCTTGCCCTAGTTTGACCACAGCGATACTGCGCTTGGCCACACTGTCGGTCGGAAACATCTTTCGCAGAAGTGGCCCCACATGATTGGAGACATCTAGAGGCAAGTTATGCTCTATTAAAAACTCTGTCATGTACACCGCTTTATTTTTATTTTTCCGATTTTAGGTGCTGGACCAAGGTTGTATCATAGAGTTTGATGAACCCTATGTTCTTCTCAAGAATGGAAAGAGCCTATTTGGATCCATGGTGGTGGAGACAGGAAAGTCTGAGGCTGCCAAGCTCCTTGCAGTGGCCAGGGCCGGGTACTATGAGAGGAACCCCTCCAACCCGTATGACTTTGACATCAATGGTGACCTGAATGAGAGCTCTGCATGAAAGGGTCAAAGGACAGGAGGTCACAAAGTCATCACGAAGGTCACGAGGTCATTATTCATGATAAATATGAATGAGAAATGACTTTCCGTATGAAGATATGATCACGAGTTGATTTTTAGAAATTTTCGCAAAATGCCGCCTCGATGATGTCACGATAATCTGATGAACTTGCAAATGTTTCGGACATGTCTTATGACAAGGACCTATGACTGTGCCAAAATTGAAAGAAATTGACATTACCAAATCTGAGTAATCATCGGCACAAAAATGTGCGGAGAAATATATAAAAAGAAAGAAAGAAAATTCTGACGAAATCAATGGGTAGTCTATGACAGAGCACCTCAGTATACCTAAAGAGTGCCTTGATGATAAATATTCCCTTTTTCATTTAAATAAAGACAGCTAAAAGTACTTAACTTAATCAAAGAAAAGTTGCAATACCAATAACTGAAATGAATTTTGTACATTTTCTATATCCCATGTAATGTGCCAATGTTTGTTTTTGTATTTCTGTTTTCGTAAAATATGTCTGAATGTTATATCTTAATATTATGTTTGCAAAACAACAATGATCCGTGTCAAATGTACGTAAGGCAAATATTATGATAAAATTATGATATATTATGATAAAATAAAGCAAAATAACTTTTTTGGTAAAGAAATTGTTTATGTTAATGGTCTCATCTTTTTTCTCAGCAGAAGCTATTATTTATCATGTATGGAGAAAGCGTTATGAAATGGAGCAGGGAAAGAGTATCAGATAAAATTAAGTATTTAAACGCATTTTTAAACAGAAGGGAAAATAACAGCCTAAAAAAAAATCAGAATCATGGACAGCCCAGGGTTTCTACATTATATATGCCGTTCGCCATGCTCATGTTTATAGTGTGCTATTTTGCAATGCAGTTACAATTTGTATAGTTTTAAAGTAGATATTCATTGATTTTAAAAACTAACTTAATTTCATTATTGCAAAGTTGAAACTTTGATTCGACAAGGTTATCAAAATTCAATGCTTGGACACATTCGAAGTACTGATTATTATAAAATATAAAACGCTTAAATACAGCCCCGGCATAGCACCTGAAGAGCTCCCCGAACGCTGCTGAGATGTGTGAGATCACAGTATGGACACATTTTGCACAAGCAGACGATGTCCCATGACATCTCACACATTTTCAGTGCCTGTGTTTTCATCTTCTCTTGAGTTCTTTCTCTTACTTCACTACGGTCAGGCTAAATGTATAATCTATTGCCTCACTCTAAACCTCGCGCATGGTTTTATTTTGATGACAAATGCAGCGATACAAAAATAAAGGAATCTGTCGCTTGTAAACAAAATAAGAAGCCATTGAATATTCAGCTGCACACACCGCGGTATGTTCAGCGTTTCAAGAGGGAACAAATGCCGTCCTTAATATCATTCCGGGGGTTTTTCAATGTGAAAATCTGGTTTCTTTGATTGTTAATTAACCCCTATCCTGTGTATTTACAAGCAAAAGATTTTAGTTATCGGAATCGGATCATATCCCCTTTTGAATGGTTTAACATGCAATTACATTTATATACACTAAACTCATCATAATTTGACAAATATTAGCTTTGCAATCATGTTCATTCTTAATGGGATGTCGTCTGCTTGGGCAGTATTGGTCCATATAGTGATGTCGTTAAAACATCGTTATTTTTCCGGCGAATCTCTCGTATATCCCTGCTGCTATGGAAGTGGTTGTATTAGTATTTTTATAAATCACCCGATATGTAATTGACCTCAAACTTGAATGATGGCCATCTGTTAATAGCTTACCAGTTTCTAGTGATACATTAGTCGACATATTTGTGATTTTCTTTGAATTTCACCTTTAAAACTTTTAGATACTACACTGAAAAAAAAGAGCGAAATTGAAAGTGGTTGAATTATGAAAGGTCTTATTACAATAATCAAAGGAAAAAAAGGAAGCAAGAAAGAAGAAAAATAAAAGATTCAGTTGCATATTTGTTGTTTTCGGTATATAGCATATCATTTTGGTAAAAACATGAACATGTACAAAAATTGGGACGCAGCTGAGGCCCGATTGCAGGAAAGGGTACAAAAATTGCCCATAAATGCAATTTTCTGTAGAAATTACAGGGATTTTTGTTGGTTGTCTTTATATTCCTATCAATTTGATTATGTCTAGGTAATAGTCACGAAATGTTGATTACCTTTTAAATGCGATCGCAAAGACATTCCAAAAATCAGTGCAGAGACCATGTTCAGGTGGTGTAATGTTCACACAATTCAAAACTGATGGACACAGCTATCAACATTGTTTTTCGAAAGAGAGTGAGAGTGTGAGAGAGAGAGAGAGAGTGGGAGAGAGAGAAAGAGACAGCTTGAATCAAATGAAGAGAGATTGTTTAGCAAATAAAAATGGAAAGGAAGAAAATGAACAAAATATTATTACTTTGTATCAGGATTGTAATTCTCTTGTAACAATGAAAATATACATGTGTACATACAAATTTGCAGAACTTGGGTAAAGTTGTAGTATGGATCATATAAATCCCATGATTTCAAGAAATGTGATTATATCTGCCATAACCCTTATATAGACATTATTCTTTCTTTCTCTGATGATCATCTTTATCTCCCTCTTTCTTCATTATTATCTGACCCCCCTCCTCTCTCCCTATCATTCTCTTTTTGTCAAGACATACATTCTTTACTTTTAAAAATCACTATTCAAATTCAAACGGGGGCATGACTTTATTAACATCCCCCCACCCCAAAAGGGGAAGGGGATGTCGCTCCCCTTTATTCACTTCCTCTCTTTCTCTCTTCCTTTTGTACTGCTTTTTTTTTCCTTCCTTGTCTCTTCACCGTCTCTTTACCATCTCTCCCGTTTCCTTGAAAAAAAATACAACAAATTGAATTTCTTGAAAATCAAGGCATGCTTCCAGAATATTTTCAGTGTTAATCTTGCAATAGCAAAACACAGTCATAGAATAGAAGTCTTTAATTTCCATCAAAACCTCGTATGATGCTGACATGTACATGACATACAAAAGAACGGACTTAATACAATGCAAAAAGGCTTTCTAAAAGTTATTTTCGCAATGTAACCAAATTTAATGCACACGTCTTTGTGAAATGCCTCGATATGAATGATTTCATTCACCTGTCGTAAGTACATGTAATTGTATTTTAATAATCAGAATGCAAATTGCATACATTACGTGTTGTTAGGTTGGTCAAGCCATAATGTTTGTCCTACCTGTCAACAACTAATGTATGCAAACTCGCATTCTTACCAATGAGATACTGTTAATTGTAACAGTTGAATGAAAAAATTTGTAAGGGATCCATTAAATTTGATTACATTACGAAAGTGGTCTATTTCAATATCCTTGTTTATTACTTTATACAACAATGTGTGAACTCTACAATGACGACTACATAATCCGAACATGAGATAAACATGGTACAATATGCTATCGAAAATACTCTTGAGCGCATTTCTCGAAAGATTTTACAATTGAGTGTAATGAAGACAGATTCATGAACATTTAAACCATGATTCTACACATAAAAACGTGAATATGTGAAAGACATCAGGATTTGGTTACAAACATTTAGGTAGTGCAATTATTAAAAAAAGATGTCTAAAAAACATCTGTGAAAAGAAAACAATTTACACATAGTTTCACATTCGTAACAAGTATGACAACAAAACCCTCCATAAAACATGGACACACACCCGATAGTGTGGTGAGTTCAAAAAGCGCAATTAAAAAAAAGATGTCCAAAAATCATCTGTGAAAAGAAAACAATTTACACATAGGTTCACATTCGTAACAAGTATGTAAACAAAATCCCTCAAAACACATGGAAACACACCCAATAGTGTGAGTTAAAAAAAAAATTATATTAAAATTAACACAACATACAATCACACACATGCAAAAGTTAATTGAAAAAAAAGGGTCACAAATGAAATTGTCTAAGCTATTTAGAAAAAAAAAATGACTCGAGAAATATGACTAAAGAAAAATAACCACTCATAAATCATCATACAATTTCAAAACGGGTTGTGTCTTTGAGTTTCATTTGTATGTAGACATCAGTTTGGATGTCATGAATATAAATATTCCTATTAATATTATTAACAAGACGAAATCCATTTTGATGGATGTCATGTTGTCTTCAATACAGTTTGGGGAAGAAAACAAAATTGCTAAAAAAGATGACTTCTTACAAATGTATATGTCATAACAAACTCTGATAGTTCGGTTTTGGATTGAGTTTTGGCCTGTTTAATAATTATATGTAAACTTCTTTAAAAAAGATGGAGATTCAATTCACAATTAAAAAGCGTGCCAGAGCCTTGCCAGACACAGCAACACAGCTAATATATGTAAAAAGTATTCCACCCATCAAAATGCTGTTGTGCATTTCAGGTGAATTAAATAGTAACCAAGGATTTTGGAGCGAAAGTTAAATACATTTACAGGTCTCTTGTCCAGTATTGAAAACCCTTTTTGAAAACCTGTGTATGAGAGAGGATAAATAGCAAATAAAATACACAAATATAAAAGAACATCAATCAACTTTTTAGGATTCCATCAAAAATTCAACGATGCCATCCAAAAGTAATACCAATTACATCATTATTTTCACAATAAATTAGCTCTTCGGAATGGATCTAAAGTAACATGTATAAAACAATCTACATGTATATGTACTATACAATTGCAACAGAAATATGGCACCGGAATAGTTTCTATAATACTCTAAATCTCTCGCTACATGCATGTAACTAATACTCTGTTATTCCAATATTTAGCACTCAAGGACATACATTCCTGTATGGATGTTGGAAAAAGTTTCTTTAAATAGTATCAAAACAAAAAGTTCAGCCAATAAATACATTAAAACACCAGGCAAAACCCTGAACAACAAAACAGCATTTCAGTGAAGCAAGTGTAACTGTCAAGAGCAAGAAATGCTATAAGCAAGCAGACATGTGTAGTTACTGCATACATGTCACATTGGACCAGTTTCTCAACACTATTGTAAGTCCGCTGACATCCCATAGAAACTTTCTATAAATTCTTTCACTTCATCTTAACACTTATTAGTTAATACATCACCTAAATAATCAAAATAACAGGTACCTGTACATGTTAAACTGGTATAATGTGGGTTCCATGCACACATTTTATGTTTTCCTTTGTTTTCTTCATACATCAACTCCTTATCCATTGTTCTATAGAATGCCGGGTAAATTTTGTTTGAAGTTGGCTTCATACACCTGTATATTATAATAGTATTTGTAAACATTAGGTTTTTGGGGGTGATTGGCATACTAAAATGCCCTTCAAGCTCCAAACAGGAGCCCTATAAGAAATGGTCCATATTATATTATTACCAGTAAAATGTTCTGATGGACATGACATTACATGTACAGCTGTACTTGATGTTGGCTACCTTCTGTAAATAATCACCCCCAAATACATGATAAGCTACAGTATATGATTTCAATTTGACAACAAATGACTACAGTCTACTTAAATACAGGCTTCCAGTCATAACTAAGGCAATATTAAACAAAGTTGAAAGGTGGAACAAACGCACATTGTGAGCTATATACTAAATAAAGGTCAAGATAAAATAAATAAACAAAACATTTTCATGTATATCTACATGTATATGTATATACATAACCATATCAGATTTTTGCTTGACTGGTCAAGTGAAAATCACATAGTCGTGCAAATAAAGTTTCTTCATCAATTAATGTAGCACCGTTGCAGCATTCAGAGAAAACCCCGCCCATCCCAGGTTTGTCTTTCCATGATTATCTTACTTACGTCCTTATTGCATCAATAAGCCACTGCATATATAGATACAATCTGCGCTTGAGCAGAATAAAGGTCATCGGTGCAAAATTGTAAAGCCCACCTGTGATGAATACTGAATATTTAAAAGGTAAAACTTCTTTGTCTTTGGCTCTCTTCTCTCTGCTTTTAAACATATTCAAGGTAAATGCAAATCTAGCATGAAATGAAACAAAAATTGGATTGTACAGACGAATACAGACTTCTTTGTTAGCGTTGGTTTTGTTAAGCAAGGCAACTTGTAAGAACAAAAGGATAAACTCTTGAGTGGTTGGATGACAATATGCACGCCATCGCTCATTTTTTAAAGGTTAATTACACCTCTCCAAAAAAAAAAATTGGAAACTCAAGTATGATTCAATATATCTCTCCTGTCGTGGCATAATCATTACTATGTTTAGTATCATTAGAAAGCATGTTTATTCTTCTTTAAAATGATACCTGTTTGTAATGTTTCAGTTATGGAATGTGCAGTACATCAAAACATAGGTCAAAGGTTAAAGATGAAAAGTTGCAAAATGCACGGCTCTTTTCAGGCTGTGCATTCTTTTTTCTTTGAAGGGTGTAGGGCTAGGGCTGCTGTGTTTTCAGATGATCTTCCATGAGCAACCTACACAGTACACACTGCACTAAAACAAACATACATTAATCTTGGGGACTGCCCCCCCCCCCCCCCAACAGCAACAAGAACAAATATTCTCTCCCCACCTCAGGAAGTCTTGGAGACTAGTCAACAAAACCCTCTATTGATGCCCTTTTGTTGTTTATTATAAAACTGCCGGCTAATTTGTCTTCAAGTTTGGTAGGAAACATTCCCCTTCAAAATGTCTAGCAACACTGCTGCTTATTACTTATGGATAAAGACTCGAGCTCTATTCAACATATCATCTAATATGACTGCATCTACCACATAGTAGTTACATAATTTATGTGATGTAAACGTCATATATATTGTTGTAAATAGGAGAGAATTAATTTCAGATACCTCCTTGCATCTTTGCAAAGAGAAAATGTGACATTTTTGGATTTCTGTAATGTAATTTGGTTAATCAAGCTATATAAAAGAGCCTGGGTAAATGTTATGCTAAGTCTCTACCACATTGTTACAAACAAAATCTTCTTATAAGTACCGTTGAACAGGTACAGGATAAAAACACAAAATCACAAAATGACAGCATATTGTTCTTATCCTCATAAGTTTGAGAAAGCTTATACATGTACATGTATATTCCATAACAGTATTCGTGCATCTTCCCCTTGTACAAAGGATAGCATAGCATATATGTGCATCTTTTTCATTTAATCTACAGGTTAAATAGTGAACATAATTGCATTTACATATTTCTAACCATCTTCATGATGAAAACACATAAGGCAAGAACAAAAGTCTTCAGTCAGCTGACAATAACCACCTACATTTGCACTATACATGTATGTATAACTAGGCAAGCAAAGCAATCAATTTAGGATTTAACCAAGATCATGGAATTTAATAATTTATTTTTAAATTTTTGAAGGTTACCTCAAGCGTTTTGAAGTAAACGCAAATTTGCCAAGCGTTTTAAGTAGAAGCAAATTTGCCAAGCTTCATAAAGCACCTACATTATCCACACATGACATGACTGAAAAATAAATATGGACCTTCTTTATAAACAAAATCACCCCCAATTATCATAGGATGTATTTGTCTTCTCTTTCAAAGACCAACGTCCAACCCAACGACCCGGCAACCCAACGACCTTTGACATTTCACTTCTAAGTAGCACCCTTGTGACATACAATGTAGACTGCTGTTAGATTAAGAGTTGAAACAAGTGCCGCATGGATCTCCTCAAAGAATCAGGCACTTTGGGTTCCATTTCTCTGTGACCTTGTGGCTTAATGACCGTGCAACCCAATGACCTTTGACATTTCACTTCTTGTTAGCATCCTCCTGACATACACTGTAGACTCCTGTTAGAGTAAGAGATGAAATGAGTGGAACATGGTTCTTCTCAAAGAATCAGGCACTTTGAGTTCCATTTCTCTCCGACCCTGTGGCTTGATAACCCTGTGAACCCTTATAAACGTTGACCTTTAATCAGCTACCTTTCTCAAACTCAAGTCTTAGCAAGAGTCAATTCATAGGGGGTAAAAAAGGCATCTTTGCAAAGAAGCAAACATCCCTCATCTCATTTCTCCATTACTTAAAGCTGTAATGACCTCATGACCTTTATGATGACTTTGTGACCTCCTGTCCTTTGACCCTTTCATGCAGAGCTCTCATTCAGGTCACCGACGATGTCAAAGTCATACGGGTTGGAGGGGTTCCTCTCGTAGTACCCTGCCCTGGCCACTGCAAGGAGCTTGGCAGCCTCAGACTTTCCTGTCTCCACCACCATGGATCCAAATAGGCTCTTCTCATCCTTGAGGAGAACATAGGGTTCATCGAACTCTATGATACGACCCTGGTCCAGGACCTGATGATGAAGATGTGCAGTAGGGTAGAACATCATTAGCTTTGATAGACTCCTGCACTTTCACAGATTATCATTTATACCAGTTTATCAATTTTTAAGATTGGGACTACTTACGATTCCATTATACCTCAAAGCAACCTATTTAGGATGCAGATTTAACCAAGGTCATGGAATTTTTTTTTTCTTAACTTCAGAGGTCACCTCAAGAGTTTGAAGTAGATGCAAATTTGCCAAGCTTTATAAAGCACCTACATTATCCACACATGACATGACATGACTGAAAAATAAATATGGTCCTTCTTATTCCACTGTGACCTCTTGACCTTTGACTCTATATAGGCTCCTACTTTTGACACACACAAAGCCCTATGACACAGTTGAAGGAGTCAGATCCAGAGGAGTTCTTCGTTCAATGCACTTTTATGCTTTATAATTTGTATGAGAAAGACCTGATGATGAAGATGTGCGGTAGAACATCATTAGCTTTGATAGAGTCATGAATTTTCACAGATTGTCATTTATACCAGTTTATCAATTTTTAAGATTGGGACTACTTGCAAATACATTATACCTCAGTCACATGGCCAAACCGACTCCAAACTGACTTATTTTTTTGCCATAGGAGTCATGTATTTTTTGTGGTGGGTCTGTTGTCAGTCTGGTGTTGGTCTTGAGCAGAATACAATACTTACCAAGACACGGTCACTGTCCATGATGGTATTGAGTCTATGGGCAATGGTCAGCACTGTACACTGCCTGAACTTCTTTCTAATGGTCAGTTGAATCAACTGGTCAGTCCTGGAAATAGAACACATTCAAGATATAATACTGTGTTATCAAGGGGAATGCGAAGCTTTTCCAAGTATTCAAATTATGGCAGGTCTGATATACAGATCAGCTGAAACTAATAGCCTTTTATTTTACAACCGGCAGATCATACGTATTATGCAATCACCACACAGAGATACTACACTGTGAGGAAAGCTTATCCAAACAAATTTTTCACCTGAACCTACGACATTCAGATTTCAGGATTCCATTTCCGACAGAACAAACAATACAAACAATCATGACAAGAAATCAATCACAGAAATCAATGTACATTCACAAATGCATTTTGCAAATCATTAATTGAATTACAAAAGAGAATGTATACATTTGCTGTAAATGATGCTTCTTTTTTAAGTAAAAGCTTTGGCAATGGAGGGATGCACTAAGAAGCATTTGTCTTTGCAATGTATATTCACCTAGGGTCTACATTAGCTGTGGCCTCGTCCACAATGAGGATCTTATTCCGATGTAATACCGCCCTCGCTAGACAGACCAGCTGCCTCTGTCCGACGCTGAAGTTTGTCCCTCCCTCGGACATTGCCATCTCCAGTTTCTCTGAGTTTTCTTCCACGACAGGCTTGAGTTGGACCTGGACAATTCATCAGAAGGGTTAACAAAAATGATTAATTGAGATACAAGAAAAATGAAATAATCAGGAAATTGGATGGAGAATCATAGGCAAGTACATGTATATGGTATATATACATGATGACAACCTTCCTCCTCCCCCCCCCCAAAAAAAAAAAAAATAACCCCTCGGGTTTGACTGTACTTATTATTTGAAAATGGCACTCATATATTCTTGTACAACAAAAATCTTATACAGTTTTATTGTGCAAATGCTTTTTGTTGTCCGCAATTGTCATATATTTCCTTGTATTTTATCTGTACTGAAAAATCAACTTGTGCATGGTAACAATATATAAAGAATTAATTAATTGTTGAAAGCTTCTCATCCTACCTCTTCCAATGCATTCCACATATCTTCATCCGTGTGATGGTTGAACGGGTCTAGGTTCTTTCTGAGGGTTCCGCTAAATAACACAGGATCCTAAGAAACAAAAAGATTTCCATGACAATGACTTTTTGTAACACATTCATACATATTCATGAAGTTTAATAATGTGATTCACAGTACAGTTACTTGTACATGTGTTCATAAAAATGATCTAGAAACAATATTTTCTAAGTAGCTCTGAATGAAATAATGGTTTTTCTCTTTCAAAAGAAAACTGAATGTCTCTGAATTTTGTACTTTGGTACTAGCATTAAGGACGTTGTGCGTTGTGGCTTTTATAGTTAAATTATGTTATTTTCAAGTATTTGGCACCACCTGTGCCTGAGAGGGGAGAAAAAAACTGAATCACTGTGACCCTCGGGTTTCTCCTCCCAGTACAACTGGCGGATTACCCCAATTACACTGGGGTTTCCCCTACTTTTACACAAATAATGCAGTGGGTTCTTAACGTGCACAGGTGGTGACTCTCCTCTACACGCTTCAGTCATCTGCCTGGGTTGGATTTGAACCCATGATCTCTGGTTTGACAAGCAGATGCTTTACCGACTGAGCCAACTGGATTCCTCGAAATTAATTAATAATTACTTGAATTATCTAATGATCCTTCCTTCTTTAAACCCAGAATCTCAAAAGATTTTCTCACCTGGGGAATAAATGATATGTGTTTCCTCAAGGCATGGAGACCGATCTCTGTGATGGTGACACCGTCGATCTTCAGGATTCCCTTGGGCTCCGTCAACCTCATGAGGGCAGCCATCAGAGAACTTTTACCTGCTCCCGTCCTACCGACGATACCGACCTAATGCCAAATATACACCAAAATAGCGGTTGGAAAAATTCAAGCATAACACAGGACATAAATGTACACCAAGAATTATAGTCATTGGTGTTATATTGTTAAAGACTAATAACCATAAGTAATAGTTATAGTGGTTATAGAGAGAACTTTTACCTGCTCCCGTCCCAACGACGATACCAAACTAACACTAAACATAAACAAAGAATCACAGGTGTAAGATCAATATTAACCTAACACAGCATATACATCAAGTTTAACAGTCATTAGTGGTTTGAAATACACTAACATAACACCATCATAAACCCAGAATCATTGTCATCGTTGTTTAGATAATACCTGTGTAACAACACAATTAAAGCAATAATAATTAACATCTGTGGTAAGATTGAAACCTACATCTTACCAAACAGTTCTGACAATATACATGTACATGCAACACACTTAAATTGGGAGTGTGAATTTTTCCCTAAGCAGACCTAAAAAATGTGCTAAACTGTCCCTGGCAGCAATAAAAACACAAACACAAAAACTAAAGGGGCTTTGTTACTGCTTGCCATTTATTTACAACATGTACTTGAAGAAAAAAGTAATCGTTTTAATTTTTGCTGCTGTGGCATTTTGAGGTGGTTTACGGCATCAAAAGTGAATGAGGCCATTCTGATGTTTTCAATTTACTGACCTTCTCCTCTGCTCGTATACAGCATCTGAGGTTCTTGAGGACTAGAGGTCCATCGTCGCTGTAGGAGACCGAGACGTCTTCAAACGTGATGATGCCATGCTTAGGCCAATCTGCATCGGGTTCTTTCTCCTTCTCCAGAGGAGCTTCTGGCTTCAGATGCGAGTATTCTATGACCCTCTCTGTTGAGGTCATCTGAGAGAGGGAGAGAGAGAGGGACAGAGAGTTAAACATTGATAAATAACAGACGTTGAATGTATACATTATGCCTCTCTGAAGTAAAGAAATTCTGTCTCTGAATGATTTATTCTATGGAGATCATGTCATTCAGGTTCTTTCTCATTTGTTGAATATTCTATAACACCCTCTATCAAGGTTATCTGAGCAAGAGACAGAATTACCGGTAAGCATTGATAAAATAAAGAAAGCATTGTGTCTATGAATGATTTGATCTATGAAAAAAATGACTATCCCGTATATTCTTCTTCTCGATAGGGGCTTCAGGCTTCAGCCTGGAATATTCTATGTATCATGATTTAAAGGGAACGGTTTAGAAAGAGGCGATTTTTTATGATTAATAAAAGGAATGAGGGATCCGGTAACTTTGTCTCAGATTCTGAAACAAAATCTTGGATTTAGCTCATGCTGCAATGATAATTTTAAACCTTTGGGTCAGTCAGGAACCCCATGACTTTTTCATGACTTTGTCAAGCCGATCGCCTGTCTGATTATCAAGATATCTATGATTGGAAATCAAAACCAAATTTTGTGTTTGCTTAACGGTTTTCACAACACTACAGTCTACTGGGGAAAAAGAGTATGGTAAAACCGGTCACTCAAAGATTTTTACTTTTTTGAAGCACTTCTTGATCATTTTGAAGCGCGAATTTTTTTTTAGGGCTTCAATATTACACCATATCACAGGCACTGATAACACGTAGGGCCGTGCATCTCAGATTTAACATTGTTAAAAGATCCCTTTAAAGATTAAAGAAAATTTAAACCTTACCAAATTTTCTACCTCAGCACTCTGTCTAACGCCCCACTGGAATGCACCCATCAGCTGAAGACAGTAGGTCAATGATAAACCGACCAGAGATGAGTTCAACTCAAATACTACCAAAAAAAAATAAGAGAATATATCGGTACATGTGCATTTCACATATACATGTATGATGAATACTCCATTCAATTCATTAGTCATGCACAAAAACAAAAGTACAATTGGCATGAAATAGAATTCTCCTGCTATTTCTGTAAAAAATACAAAATGTATCAACATAGAATCACAAATGAGAATTACACATTACAAACATACCGTATGTAGGATATCAAATATAGATTACAGAACAAATTGACATTTGAGTAGACTACTAGACGCATCCATATATCCACCCAAGTCCAACTAAGGTTCCAAGTGCTATTCTTTTGTTTAATAGGTTGACTTGTATAAGCACTGTTCACATTCATTGAGGATAGCCAAAAGGAAAATAATTCCCATTAAGTAGATTCTCCTCACTAGTCGTGGTTTACAAACACATACAAACATAAATAAATATGAAACAAACAATCTCAATTTATACTGACGGCAAAAGTGAAGGAATAAAATAATGATTAAACAGTTCGATGCTGTGCCATCACTATAACCCAGGTGACAAATAGTGAGAGTACATTACTGTTGTAACTTTGTAACCTGGATTACAAATTATATAATCTAGTACAGTTTTACTGTGCCACTTCAAATAATTTCCTACAGTATCTTACTGTGACTGTAATGGTGCGAGTGGTGAGTCAACACACCTTGTATGACTGAGCTGGGAGAGGTGCGTCTTATACACCAAGATTTACGGTATTCATAGAACTCGATGAATCAACTTACTATCAGATGAGATGATGCAAGTAAAGGCTACTATGGCAAGGAAGGTGACGGACATCCAATCTAACATGATACCAAACCAACGAGTGGAAGTGAGAAAGAGAAACCATGTCCTGGTGTGGGTGTTCTGATGGAGGTCGAACTGCTTGGTGAAGTTCTCCTGGACCTTGAAGGCTCTGATGGTGACCAACCCCTGCAGAGAGGCGGAGAGGTGACTGAAGACAGGGCTACGAGCTTGGAAAGGGAAAGGAGTTATTGAAAGTTTTAAGTGAGTCAGATCATCACCAATTTCATTGAATTAAAGTAACAAAATATGTGTAGAATAGATGGACGGAAAGGATTAGGTAACATGTCCTGGTGTGGGTGTTCTGATAGATGTTGAACTGCTTGAAGGCTCTGATGATAACCAGCCCCAAGAGGTGATCGCAGTATTGACACTTGCACATATACAGAGTGGATAGGGTGGATGCTACGCTTGACTGATAGATAAGCTGACACACTAACTGAATGATTGATAGAAAATGGACTCACTTATCCCTTCTAATCTCTTGATATCTCTTGATGATGCGAGGTAGTATCGTCTGACGAGGGTGAATGCTACACACAGCGGCACCGTGAATATTAAGACGATTGGGTTGAAGATGCTAATCACGATGATCACACCTATAGTTTGAATTGATATCTGAAAGATAAATAATAAGACATGATGACTTTAATCAATTGACTACCAAGTTCCAGTAAGCAATGGGTTACCGTATTTGCCGACGTAAAGGCCGCAGTATTTTTGGAAGAGAAAATATCAAAAAGTCGGGGTGCGGCGAAAGAGTAAAAAAAGTTTTAAATTGCAAGTCAAAACCATGAAAGACAGCACAAATTTGTACATATGGGACAACAATGAAAGGTGATGGACATTTCTAGAATAACTGTCTAGAATAACACATGTCAATCTCATAAATAATATTCATAACTTACCAACCAAACTCTACTGGTAGATATAGATATATAGATAGAGTTTTTGCCATAGCTAAAGCAATCTCAATCTTCTCAGTTTGCGCGAGCAAAGCTATGGCGCAATACACAAGAGAAGCAATACATAAGAGAATGCTGCAGTAGAAAGCATTAGAGTCGGGATAGTCGAGCGGTCTAAGGCGGTGGTTTCGGGTCCCACTCTACATTTGTACTCAAGAGTTCGAATCCAGCCTTCGACAAAAGTTTTTTTTTTTTTAAATGTCTAAATCAGGGGTGTGGCCTATGCGGTGCTGCGGCCTTATCGCCAGCAAATACGGTAACTCATTTTAGGTACTAACATTCAGCATTTGCTGAGAAATTGCAGTACAACTGTCTAAAAAGAATGGTCATGGATCAGGGGAAGTAGACCAACATTATGAAAGACTTTATGGCGTGAAATCACACAAGAAATCACAAACATGGTATAAATGTTTAAAATGATTTATGAAAATAATGTTCATATATTTATTCTTGGGAACCTACATGTACCAAAACAAGCTATGCTTTTCAGTAGGTTCCTGTTTCATTTCATTATTTTGATCTTACTTTGTCAACTTTGTTCTTCATTGTGCAAACAATTGTTTTATGAAATGAAATAAAATCAATCAATCAATCAAATGTATGCACATTGATGTCTAATACGTGGGTAATGATACATTTATAAATAGTTGTTTTAGACATGTATCAATTCAAATCTTCTTGGTAAATTGAATTAATTTAGGCTTAAAGGGCAAACCTAATGATAAGCAGTCGCTGGCTATCAGGTTACTGATCAAATATCTGTTACATAGTTTAGTAACTTTTAACAAATATAAAAACAATCTTACAATAAAATTGTTATTGTACTGGTGAAGGATGGATTCTTCCACGTTGAAGCCTACATATTCATGTATATAATATATAAATGCAGAAGACGGTACAAATACAAAATGTACCCCTTGCCTTCCCAGAAATCAACTTCTATTTCACCAGGTACTGCCAGTCTTCACATAAAACTGAGAGCGAAAATGATACAACATTTGACTAAACTAAGAAAACAAAACTTAGATCTCTTGTTCATGATTAGTTTTGCACAATAAATGACTTCTGTACATGTATGTAATAAAAATATTCCCTATGAATACTAGAACTTACTGCATTGAAATCTGCAAAGGTTGTAGGTAATAGCTCATCCATTAGACCGATATCTTTTGAGAATCGATTTAATATACGCCCTGAAAAAGGAACCAAATAGAACAAATACAAAATGTTAAATCTCAATACAAAGGGACAAAAAAACAAGTGTACCGAATCGGATGCGAAACAAAATTTTCATATAGACATTAAAACCACTTGAAACCATAATAAAAAAGAATTTAAATGCGTTGAACTCTCTTATTTCATATCTTGAGAGTTGGGAAAGTGTTTGGTCTTAGAGTTAAGGTCCTTCTGGCCCTAAACAGACATCTGTTCCTAATGCTATCTAACAAGAAATGTAGCCAAACTTGAGTTATATGGTTAATAAAGGTAATTAAGCCCTTCTGTGCCACTAAGTTTCATAAAATGGTAGTAATGTACATGTACATGTACTTCTGACTCGTATTGTTTTTTAAAATTGTCAGATTGGGTATGAGCTATCTTTCACGAAACTAAACTTTAAATTGAATGTACAGTCAAAATTGTACTAGTGGCCACTTCTCTACAAAGACTATCTGTCTATTGTGGTCACCCATATTGCCACCATCTGGAAGGGTTTAGTTTCTGAAAGGAACATTGCAGCCTTTTCTAGTCAAAACACATTGTCCACTCTCCCTTTTTCTTTCTTTCTTTTTTTGTTGTTGTTGAATTTTCCACCCATGGCAAGGACAAGGTAACCCGCTCCTGGGGGCTGTTTCACAAAGATCCCAAGTCAAACTTAACCATAAGTTGAAATTCAAAACTATGGAGAGCCATTTGTAGCCTTAAAATGAAATATATTCAAAAGCGAAAATTGAAGTAATTTAGACCTTTTTTAAATTCCACATCAAGAACATGAAATCTCCTTGATAATAGAAAATATGAATGATTTGAATCAACATTTTATGCCTTTTAAAAAAACTTTTACAAAATATTTTCATAGATGCCAACAGCTTTCCATAATTCGTAAGTCCAACTTAGAGTTAAGTTCAATTTGTGAAACACTCCCCATTTCTCCCCATTTCTCACCAATCGGGTTAGTATCAAAGAATTGCATCGGGGCCCTGATGAGAGCTTCAAACATTCTATTGTGGAGAACGGTGGCGGCGTTGACGATGATGATGAAAACATGATAGGTACGAATGAAGCAGAAGAGGATGAAGAGACCGAGAAAGATGGACAGGTTTTGAAGATAGTACGGCCGGTCGACATCCATCTCATCTACAAACGTGTGATTCTGAAATGATCATGGAAAAAATGATAAAGTATTTAAAGAAATTATGCAATTCAAGTTTGAGCATTGATACCTCTCTTGTTATTATATGATTAATATCTGACATCGGTATTATTGAAAAGCCCGTTTATTCCCCTTTACAAAAAAATGCCCCATTTGTAACGATTACCATATGTAAACATGGACGCCTAAAAATAGGGCCGAATCAAAATTGAAATGTTGCTAAATGCATTCTTTTTTCTTCAAAACATGATTCATCCTCCAGACAAATGAAGAATTCACTGTTGAGAAAAACAATGCATATTGCAAAATTTCACTTTTGACTTGACCCCATATTCATGTTTACTGCCCATTCCATGATTACATAATCATTACAAATGGGACATCATTGTGAAGAAACAGACTCAATCTTGCACTGCACACAGAAATGGGTATATGGGACTACACATTCTTGTGGCATGAAAGTTTGGTACAAACTTTGCAGCTATTTATTTTCCTATCTAACATGAGGGAAAGTGAAGAGGAACCCTTTTATGGGGTCATTCATTTTGATATTTTCCCACACTGACATAGAACAAATGAGAGATTATTTTTCATCTTTACCAACATTCTCTGTAATATCGCCTTGTCCTCAACTTACCGGCGAGACCGTATCGACTATGCATGAACGATTGAGTAACTCAGCACACGCCGTCTCCTCAGCGAAAGCCCATTGCGCTAACCACCAATCAGTGAGGTTCATGAACGCCTGGTTAGAGAAAAGAATAATATGTTGTCTTGCATAATTCTACAGTGGGTAGATGTATCAGGTCTAGGGGCCGTTTCATAATTTAAAAAAATCTAACAACTGAAGTTTCACATTTCTGTAATTTTTTTTTTCTTCTTTTTTTTCTCTGTATTTCTTCAACTCCCCTGATTGCTAATATTGAAGAGCATTTAAGACTATGATCCCTAAAATACTGGCCACTGCCCTGAAGAATATTACATACACCAGTTATTACATTCACCTGTTCATAAAGACATCCTGTAAATAAAGATCAATTTTCTTGAGTGGTCTTTATACACAGGTTTCACTGTATTTCTTCACTCACCTGCCTGTTAACATTGAAGAGCATGAACCCTAGAATCCTAGCCCTGCCCTGAAGAATGTTACATGCACCATTCATTACTGTCACCTGTTCATAAATACCACCTGAAAATAAAGACTCATTTTTGGAGTGGTCTTTATACACAGGTTTCACTGTATTTCCTCACTCACCCGAATGCTTATATTTAAACATGAAGACCTTGACCCCAAGAGTTACTGGCCCCCGCCCGAAGAATGTTATGTGGACCTTGTGCTCCACTTAGTACTGATACCTATAAATAAAGATCACCTGTTAATAAAGACCAATTTTCTGGAGTGGTCTTTATACACAGGTGTCACTCACCTGACTGCTAACATTGAAGAGCGCGAAGACCATGAATCCAAGAATACCGGCCCCTGCCCTGAAGAATGTTACATAGACCATGTACGCCACCGTGCCTACAGACTTGGTCTCTTTCTGTCTATCGCTTGCTTTCTCATCAGCCTGTCAAATAAATTACATAAAATAAAAATAACCTTTCTGAAGGATTTTCTACATATCAACAAGTTATACGACTGTATGATTCCAATTCAATTTCAGTTCATTTGGCATTGATCATACAAAACATTACAAATCATAAATACAGAATAAATGATATGCCAGTGCAGTGTTTCAAAAAGACTAAGATCAACTTTTAGTTGAACTTAGGCCTTTCATGCCACTAGTTCCTCTAACCATTCCTGGCATTGGTTTCTCAAGGGACGTACAACTCGTGGTCACAAATCTACAGAATTTACCTTTTTTGATAGTTCATTCGGAAGTTAAAAATATTATCTAAAGATCATAATTGAGAGACCAATGGTGAGAGCAACCAGTGGCATGAACAGCCTGCCATAGTTAAGTCCAACTTAAAGTCGATCTTAGTCTTTGTGAAACACTCCCATGGACCTCTTAGAAGCAACTTGTGCTTGTACATGAGACAAGGTAAATTCAATATCAAATTAAATAAAATAAAAATGAAAACTTTGATTTATATAGAAAATGCAATGGATTTTGAAAGAATCGGTACTGAAAGCTCTTCAGCACAAACCAGTAAAGCACCATACATTTTCTACATACCGGTAGACTGATTATCAGGTGGGCTGTATCTAATACAGACCACCTTATATTTTTGTTAAAATTGCCTTTATTATTTATTTATTTATTATTTATTTATTTTTCTTAGTTTGACCCACTTTTTTGTTAGCAAGATAACTTTGAAATGGTTCAATCAAATGCTTTGATATTTGGCACACATATGTATAGGCATATGGACAAGACACGGTAAGGTTTTCAACCTTGACCTTGACTGATGACGTCATCTAGGCGCCATTTTGTGAAATTTTCTGAAAATCAACTCATGATCATATCTTCATAACCAAAAATCATTTCTCATTCATATTTATTATGATCAAGGTCAATATCAGTCCGGTCAATTTCCGGTCAAAAAATGCGCGCGTGCGCGTACGTCCGCGCGTCAATGCGCGCGCAAAAAATTTAAATGCTCAAAATCGTCTCAAATTTATTTTGCATACGTTTCAGGTCAATTAAAGCATTTTATAAAAAATCGCGCGTACACGCATGCGCGCGCGTTTTCGCGCGTTTCACCATTACACAACATAGAATCGCCATTTTTTTTCTTTCATGATATTTCTCATATTTTTTTGAGGAATTTGATACCATGTTCATCTCTTTATGAACATTAATAACAAGATGAGCGTCAATTCAAGATAAATGTCCGTGCGCGCAAGCTCTTTAATACATAGCATATATGGGCAAAAACATGCCTATACAAAATCCATTATAGCTCTTTGGAATGAACCGTGACCTTCAATGTTTTTTCATTTTTAAATAGAGTATGTGTCGGAAATATGATTCCATGTCTCATTTGGCCATTAAGTGTATCGTGACATCATCATAATGGCCTTGGAACTCAAAATACGAATTTGCATATTATGAAGTCAGCATATTTATGTAAAATTGATTGTATCTCTGTATATATTAATCGATTTCTTCAAAATTTCGATATGTTGTAGCTAAGATAATTCTCTACAAGTTGAATAATAATCATTTTTCATTTTGATGACGTCATCAGAGTAAAATTTCGATTAAAGGGCACATATCAGAAATTTCTGAAGTTGCGTGTTATGCCTATGGAAGGTGAATTTCGTTTACATCATTACATCAATGACATTGTTTTTTAGCAGTATCTCGCTTATTTTTGCTCTATTTTGTCTCAAATTTTAGTTGACCAGCCCACCTATACTTGTTCCAAACAAGTATTATGTCTAGTTTGTTATTGTTATTGTTAATATGTGACCAGCCCTCAAAACCAAAGCAATACTTTGGAAAAAAGACTAGTGTCTATACATGTACCTTGTAAATATGTTTCATACATTGTGTCAGAAAATGGTACATACAAATAAATCCATTCATCACTCTTTCAATATTAGTGGTCTTTACAACGCACAACCAGGGATGCCAGTTAGAATTGATCAGAGGGCCTGAAAATCACCTAGAATGAGCTATTTTGTACACAAAAAAAGCCTAAACTATGGTCTGTAAATAACTCCCTAAGGGCCTGAATTCAGGCTATTGCCTGAAAACTGGCATCCCTGCACAACTAAAGTGGGGCTTGGTATTAGTAATGGGGATAATTTAAAAGTTAACCTGGTATTTGCTCCAGGCTTGAATTCATTAGAGATCTAGATGGTTGGGGTTAGGGCCTCATTAGTTTTCAAGTCGGTACTCTGTAGGTGCCGAGAGTATCCCTTCGGATGGGTATATCCATGTGCGATTTATTTGCGTAACATAATTACCTTAGTGTTTATATTCATATTTTCTTTATTATTATTACGGTATTAGGTTTAAGTTTAGGGTTTTAACATACATGGTGTTTGGTCCAGGGTTGTAATTAGTTGGTTAGAGTATGAAATTAATGTCAATTGTGGCAGAGAATGTGTTACAGTTTCTATAGATATACAAAATTGTGTTTTGGGCCAAAGTACCTTATACTTTCTAAAATACACAGTTCACAATACAAAGTCAAAATGTCATATTTTTAAAATAATAAATAAAGGAACAGTGTCATTTTCACTTTGTTCTCTAGACTTTTAGCAAGATGTAATTTAATGCCAGTCAAATTAATGATAATAATGATAAAGTAACTTATATAGCGCCAAATCCACTCTGTAGAGTGCTCAAGAAACCTGTTAATTCAGTTGGATTGGAAGTAAGAGAGTATCTACAAAATAACACTGTTCTGGGTAGCGTAACGGCAACTCTGCAATGAAAGACATTGCACAAGGCATTTGAGAACAGCATGCGAGTGCTTTCGCTGACATTCATAAATTTCAGTAAACACAGCTTTTAACATGCTGCCCAAGAATACTGGAACAACACAGGAAAATTCCTATTCTGTTAAACAATTAAGAACTTCAATTTTAAATGTAAAATACTCCATACAAGAACAGTTAGTTTACTATTGCAATTATATCTCTTTCTGTATGTGTTAAATCACACAATGTAGAATCAAACTCGAAGTTTAGTCAAACATGGACCAACCAGTACCACTCAACTGAGTTTATATCAACATGAACGACATCAAACACAATGGCAGTAAAAATACATGTAGGTGAATGAGAAATCAAATATGCAATTCAATAACACACCAGTGATGTAAATGTCAATTTTAAAAAAAAAATGCCCAAGGCTCATTAAGATTGAATTACAACAGTTACTGTTCCAATGGCTCCACTGTATTAAATACAGTCAAACCTGTAGAATCTGAGTAAATGGTGACCTGTCTACAGGGGCCACTTTTTCTGTTTCCCTTTAGTGGGCTTTATAGACAGGGTTGACTGTATGTTGCATAAATTCAGTATCAGAAGTTCTGTTGAATTAAATGTCCAGTATGGAAGATATGCAATGTTTGTTATTTCTTTTTACCAATGTACAACAGTTAGTTGCATGTCTGGGAATCCTCAAAAACAACCACACAAAAAAGAAAGAAGAGAAAGGAAAGGAGGAAATGGAGAAAGTGGAGAACACGGAGGAGAAAAAATATAAGCAGGAGGAGAAGAAGAAAGAGGAAGAGGAAAAAGCAGGGATGAGGAAGAGTAGGAGAAAAAGGATGGGGAACACAGCACCTGTTCGTGCGTTTAACACCAACTCTCATTCATTAATTTGATACAAATTTCATAATGCAATACTACAGCAATCACCAAGCAGATTTGATCTTAGTACCTGACCGATCACACACTGTGCTTTAAATCTGCCTTTCTCATCAAGCTGTTTAAAGGAAATAAAACAACATTCACTGCTGTAATGAGTAAAAACAACAAATAGCTCCCTCCTCCCTCAAAAAAGAGAGTTTCTAAACAACATATACACATTTGTGGAGCATTATCATATGCTGTTTAAGGCAATCATTTTTAAAATGACAATAGGAATTTCATATCTTTGACTTGCCAACAAATTGGACAGTACAAATCACTCTCTGACAGCAACCATGGTACATGTATGATAGTGTAAATTGGACTGACATACTTCTGGTGTACGACGTGCAGGCCCTGTAAACGTATTATGAATGTGCAATGCACGTACACACATGTCCAAAAGCTATTTTAGGTTCCTCAATTATTGTGAAGGAACTTAGCAACGAAAAAACAAGTTGAAAAATACTCCAAATCATATCGACGAATAGATTGAAACAATAACAAGAATTTTCAAAGACTTTTGGGAGCAACTTTAGAATACCACGGCAAGATGAACACCTACCTCAAGAATGATATCATCAGCAATTGGATTGATCTCCGTTGCTATGGCGCCGGGGATTGAATAAATTGAGCTGGTCCTCGACACAACGTCTGCTTGCTTGAGTGATTCATGCTCCTTGAGGAGAGCAGCGAAATCTATCCCAGTGGTCTGGAGCTCCTCGAAGCTTCCGCATGCTACCATTTCACCCTGGTCGTTGAAAATCAGGAAAGAAAATTACAGATTGGAGCCGTTCAGAAAATAGGTTTTGTCCAAACTTGCCCCTAATGTACATTGTAGATGTATATCATCATCATCATCATCGTCGTCATCGTCATCATCATTAGCAGCAGCAGCAGCATCACCATCACCATCATCATCATCGCAATCTCACAGCAACGTTTAATTATTATGATAAAAGTGTAAATATATCACTTTTATACAGAAAAATGGATATGTACTAAACTGCACACTGGGATATACAATGTTGCATGAAAAATTAATGAAGGCAGTTACATTCAATCACATAAGGAGAATGAATCTAACAGAGTCTAAAACTTGATGGGCCTATTAGACTGTAAATTTACAACAATTACAAGACAACAATAAAATAAATATATTTACATCTTTGAGGACGACTATACAGTCTGCTGCATCCAGGTACTGCAACTGATGAGTGACAAGGACAACCGGTTTGTCTCTTAGATGACCCTTGATGCATCTACAAATGTAGAAGAGAGAGAGAGAGTGAGGGAGAGAGAGAGAGAGAGAGAGGGAGAGAAGGAGAAAGAAAAGAGAGAGAGAGAGAGAGAGAGAGAGGGGGTGAGAGAAAGAGATAGAGAGATAAGACAGGAGAGGGAATGTCAGATGGAGGAAAGAGAACGACAGAGAGAGATTAATCCATCTATCTACAACAGTTCGACAGTTCTGCAGTCAATATATAAATTCTTAAATTCAACCCCTGACCAAACACTAATCCTAACGGCCAACCCCAAACCTGAACTGAAACCAAACTGCTAGCCTAACCCAGCCCTACATATTAAACTACATACAGCTCAGTGCAATTATTACCGGGGCGAATGTCAGAGCACCTGAAATCATTTCTTACTTATCAAACAGGTGCCTTCCGACCGCTGTATCCACAGCACTGAGAGGATCATCCAGTAAGTACGCATCGGCCTCATGGTATACAGCCCTGGCCAGGCTGACCCTTGCCCTTTGACCTCCACTCAATGTGATGCCCCTGTCTCCGACCAGCGTGAGGTCACCGTCAGGTAAAAGTTCAATGTCCTATAGATGTGAAGAAGTCAAGAAGAAGATGTTTCAAAATTTAGTAAGATTGCGTTCACTCGACATCACAACATTGTCGCTTAACATGAATGACACGTTAAAAAATCTGAACCAGCCTTTACTGTACATTTAAAACAGATAATGCAACCTAATCTACACTGTATGTCATAAGGCTATGGACTTTCACAGTTTTTATTGTACTATGTATCTTGGTTTGTATCACAAGCATTCACATTTTTTAAAACTTACATATGTAATTAAATGAAATACAGCGTAGATGCATTTTTGTCTCATAAATGCAAGTCTACTACAGAAAAGTGTGAAAATATATGTTGAAATTTCAAAGTGACCGCTCACCGTTTTGAGCGCGCAGACTTTCAGGGCCTCCTTGTACTTGTCTGGGTCAAACTTCTTGCCAAAGAGAATGTTATCCCTTAACGTGCCAGAGAACACCCAGGGCTGCTGTGCTGTATAGGCTATTTTACCACTGACAATAACGTCACCAGTCTGTGTTGGGAGCTCATTCATCATAGCCATGAGAAGGGAAGACTGGTGGGAGAAAAAAAAGGATGGTATCATATTTTCATCCTTACCACACAAGGTACACGTACTTAACAGATAAATATAAATCATGAAAATTTGAGAAAAAGTATTCTATGGATCTGAACTGGAACCACATTTGCATCCAACTGAACCCACATACATCAATTACATACTTTTAACTCACATATTTTATAAATCGTTTGATTGTTTGTTGGATTTTTCCTCTATGTAATTTTGTTTGATACCAAAAGACTGGCCTATAGGGCTGGTGTATCCCAATCTGCAGCTAGTCTTCATCACCAGTCTTCTGAAGAAGCCTGCCAATATTTGTTGGCGAAAGACCCACGAGGTATACATTAAATTTGACTGTGCAAACAGAAAAATTGTTCTTATCAACTCTACCGATCAAATGAAGACTATGAAGATGAAGAAGAAACTGATAACAAATCTCACCTTGCCACTCCCCACAGGCCCAATGATGGCTACAAGCTGTCCGGCTCGCAGAGAAAAGTCAATGTTCTTCAGAGTGAAACCAACTTTGTCATCACCACTCTGCATCATACCAGGACAGAGAAAAGGGAAAACACAAAAACACATTTTTTGAAGACTTGCAATTTGAAGCAAATTAGAACAAGTTCAACAAAGTTTTTGCATTCCTATGTGCTTATGCCATACAACAAGTGGAAAAGGATAACTAGAGATAATATTTTTTATATTTTTTGACCTACTTCATGTTATTCAATTTTGCTTGAGCAATTTATATAAATAATTATTTTCTGACATCTTAGAAGATATTTACACACAATTCAACCAAGGTTCATGTAAAAGACCATCAACAATGTTATCCTGTAACCTAACAATTAGGGTACCAAACTGGCATGAAATTATGTATCCTTTCATTTATTTCTACAAATCCTAATTCCTGTGATTAATCCTTGGTTCTGTCTCATACCAGATAAGTTTGATATTACTATCATTATGGGTTTGATATCAACAGCATATCTCCTGGTTTTATACACAAAATTAAATTTTATGCAAAAGAATTCATCGGGATCAAAAGGATAAATCCTTCACTGAATAGGGTCTCTGTTATTCCCTATGACATATCTTCGCACCAGTTATCTTGAGGCAGCAGAAAGCAAAAAATCACACAAAGAATCACTTGGATGAAGAAGTCCACAGGAGTGGAGGCAAGTTCGCCTCTTAACAGGTTGGTAGAAGCCTAATCTACGTCTGATTACCCCAACCAATGAAAATCTTCTGTAAAATACTCAATTGTAGCTTTGTAACTGATTTGAGAGATAACGCCAATTGGACAATAAAATTGCAAACTGTTTTGTACAACAGGGCAGATTTTTAATACAGTTCATCTCATCATTTTTATTTTGGTGGAGTTGACTTACTTTGGCATCCCAAGATCCTCCGAGGTTCCTAAGAATGATGTCATTATCATCTTCTCCACGTTCAGGAGTCCCATCATCCCCATCAACATCCCGATTTGATCCTTCTTTGCTTTTTCTCCTCTCTTCTTCTTTCTCTTCCTTTTCTTTCTCCTCTTCCTCTCTGTTATCATTCATATGCTTCATGACTAGACCATCTGGGCCATCTTCAACCAGCTGATCTTTTTCCTTGTTATCATCATCAGGGAGGAATGCTACAGTAACGTCATTGCTGACGATGGTATCTGTCCTCTCCTCATCTTTTCTTCTATCGTTCTTCTCGGTTTCTTCCAGGGGTTCTCCGATCTGCTCAGGGATGGGAAGGTTAGCATCGGACGCGATGGAGGAGAGGGAGTCTGCATTTTTCAATGTCTTCAGTTCCTCCATCATAAGAAATTCCTTCATAAGAATAAAAAAATAAAAGAGTGCCAGTTAATTAGACTATACTTGGCACATTCTCCACAGAACGTGGTCGAAACAACACTTGACTTTTATTCACATATTTCATTCAATTATACATCATCTTTTGATATCGCAAGTTAATGGGTGAAATATATGGATACATGTTGAATGTTGTACGAGACACATTGCACTGAGTTGCTCCAGTCAATTTTCTAATCCAGGGGAGTTCCTAACTTCAATCCTAGACTAAACACTACACCTAACGCTACAGTCTTAAACCTACCATAAACTCATTTGCAAGGTAGATGACACATTGGATGTCAATTAATACTCAGAACTTCATATTACTTTCACATGTGGAATGTTAATTGAAAGACCAAATACATTTGCATTAGAATTGCCCTTTCAAAGACCCTGTTGAAAGTGAAAATAAAATAGATGAATTATATATCAATGGAAAGCTTATAAGCCGGAGTTGACTATAATATCAATTATATGCTATTTTAGTGTCTGTCAGAGGAGTAACAGCTCTCTGAAAAATCAAAATCTAAAGCTTAGAAAATTGGAAGTTGTCGACCAAAAAAAAACTAGCTATTGACTTGATGATATCATGTTATGTGGAGTGTCCATATTCACAGCGAATTTGTATTAATTAAGCACAGCCCATTGGCTATACAGCCAAGCCAATCAGGTCCACAACTTATATCATCCTAACTGCAGCAAATTTGACCCCTGTTGATCCTTAATTTGGAAGGGTGCAGAAAATGAGGTTTTAATTTGGGTTTGTGTAATACTGAGAGGGACAATACATTTTACTCCTTTATGTTTGTATTCTACGTTCATTCACCTTTCCATTACTATAAAGTTGTATGTTTTTATCGGATAGGATCTTTAATGGCTGCAGAATTAAGTACAATAGCATGAGGCTCTTTAATTCACAAATAAGAATATGAGAAATGTCCAACCTGTATTCTGCGCACAGCAATGAGCCCCTCACTGCCGTACATGATGCAGTAAGGGATGAAGAGAACGACCGTGAGACGGACAGCGTTGAAGAGCGGGATGGCAAGAAAGACGATGCTGGGGGTGAGCACGTGACCGGTGAGGGCGTAGACGGTGAAGGTGGAGAAGGAGATGATAGCAGTGGCAGAGTTGAAGAAAGCGATGTTGAAAGAACGCAAGTGGGTGGAGCGCATCACTTTGGCGATTTCTTTCCTGAAGACGTCGGATCGATGAATGTGTGGAAGGATGAATGGAAGGATGGATGAAAAGCAATGTGTAGAAGAATGAGGAATTTTTTTGAAAAAAAAGTTATTCTGGGCGAATATATGGAAATGAATTTGAGATACTTAAGGAAATATGATTAAAACAGTTTATTTCAAATAACTCTGTATGTGCAAATGAACAGAAAATTAAGATAATATATTTATGTTTGTGATTACTCAAAATTATTTTTGAACAAGGTCTTAGTTTTTGTCAGAAAAAAAGAAGTATTGTTTGATAATTTAAAAAAAAATATGATTACAGTGATATTGTAGGCAAGCAATGTTATTAAATTAATTCAAAATATGTAGTTTTTTAAAATCTGTTTATTCATTTTTGCATCTAATGTTTTATATCATCAAAAAAGAAAAAATAATTTTACAAACATAATCAAAATTTATTCAATGGAAATATTATGGAGGGCAAATGTAGAAAAGTATCCACATCAGTATTTTTCTTCTTCTAATTCTAAAGTTTTTAATATCCATAGCGAATATTTATATTGAGATGGTGCAGTCAATGATCCATGACAAATAGTCCTTACTGTAAATGAATGCGGAAAAAAGTTCTTGCTTCATCAGAGTGAATAATTCTTTTTCAAACTGGCTGCTGGGTAGAAATGTAAATGTTTGTCTACGCAGTTAAAATGTAATGTAGGTATCTAATGATCATTGATACCTTGTGAATATATATATATATATATATAGCTATTCATGGACTATTGCAATGGCTTGATAAAGGTTATACAAGTAGCTTTAAAAGATATGCAAATGATGACATAGCTGACATTATGCTGGAAATTGGAACTTTGGATAAAATGCTCATATGGATGTGTTTATATATACTGTACACATTCTAAATGCTGGCCATACTGATACATTGAAAAATGATGTCTGAGGCAGTGGGCAGGTATATGATGAAAAAGTTCTGTTTAAATAATCATCTGCTTTTAACGACACAGAATCGAAGATGGCTCGCACAAAGATGATTCTCAGTCACATGGTCTGCATTGTAGCATAATCAATTGCTATGGATGGTATGCAAACACACTCAAAAACCTTTTCAAAAAAAATTATTTGATAATTTAAGATATCTGTAAATACCTTCTTGATTCTCTGACCAGGTCTGAAAAGGGGAATTCCCATGCATGAATCTTGATGATCCGCATTCCTGAGATGATCTCATTCATAATCCGCACACGCTCATCGGTCAATAGAGCCGTCTTGTTCCTAAGAAAATTAGAAAATAAAAACAGAAATGAACACCAATGACACTGCACAATAAATTCATACTAAACGCATCAACAAATCCATCCCGAACATCTAAATGACAGTAGCATGTGCGCATGGTTTTCTTTTATTGATCAAAAAGGTCCAGAGTCCTAATCTGAGAGCTGATTTGATGAGAAAACCACCTGCCAGTGTCCATGCAGGGAGGTCTAATACCGCCTGGCCAAACTAGTGCAGACAGGCTTTAAACGGAATACAGACTTCAAATTCCTTTACTCTAAAATATCATTCTACGAGACTGGACATTCTTCTTATTTTTGCAGGGTCTCTAGTAGAAACATGCTGTTTGTCACATATTTGTGACAATGTTAAAGCGTGACTGCACAGCTTTTAGCTACTTTCGCCCTCTATACAGCCAACAATGCCTAAGTGGTACCCGTTGATCCCCATTGGTCCCCTTTTTTTAATGTTAATTGAGAGCTGATTGGGTGAGATAACCACCTTCCAGTGACCACGCAGGGAGGTATAATCCCTCCTGGCCAAATTAGTGCAGATAGGCTTTAAAGAGAGTTTAAAAGAAATATTACCTGAATTTGGAGAATAGTTTTCCCATCCATCCTTGGAGAGGAGCTAGACAGAGAAGGATGACGAATCCTACCAGACAGGACGGCCCCATGTTGTTAAAGAGTATGATGAATAAGACTATCAGCTGCAGGGGGCCAATCCAGACGTAGTGCAGGAAAAGCATCACCTGAAAGAAAGAAAGAAAGATTGTTATATTCCTATGGATGACAACTGGATGGATGGAACTGTAGCTATGTCTGGTCTCATCTAGAAGGCAAGACTCGATACTGACAAGCCAAGCCATATTGGCCTTGTAGGGCAATCCAATAATAGGGCAACTGTAATATGTTCATTTGAATGAAAGCAGAAAAATCAGAGAAAAAGAACGATGGAAGTTTGAAATAAATCGGACCAATGTTGAGAAAGTTATGAATGTTTGAAATAAGAGATCAATGCAGCTATATGAATCTCAGCAATTTTGTCAGTGGATTGTGACGTAGTTACCGCTCACACAGAAAATGCATTTTAAGCTATCTTTTGTCCCTAATGCCATTCCCTTCTTTAATGCACAAGCCTGGAGGTCTGGAACTCAAATGTAAATACTGGCCTCAACTTATTATTTATTCTGAATTTGATTTTTGTTAGGGCTCATAATACAAGACTTACCTACATGTTCAAATAAACACACAGTAAGCTTAAGGTTCAAATTCTCACTTGAAATGGTAACATAGACGCAGTTTATGTTTATACTGCAATCAATGTATGTATTGTTCTGTTTCCAATGTAACAAATATTTTCAGAATGTTATTATGTTTGTGACGATGTACATTTGCTCTTATTGTATTTCTTCTGGTATTATGTACAAGTACAATGACTGTAAAACCACTGAAAAAATAAATCCCAGAAAGGGACAATACAATTTTAATTCAATTTGGTGCAATCATAATAAAACCTTTTCAATCAATAAATCCATCAATGTTAAGATTGAATTCACAATCAACCATTTTGTGAGCACCATTCCACATTTTGTGGTTTGGCAACAACAAAAAATTGATTCGTAGCCTTGAAAAATATGCCGGATTTATGAGTAGAAATGGCAAATATTTATAACACACTCTGCATCCAGTTTTATTGCATGACTATATTGTGTTTAATACCAGCAATTTTAAAAGGAAAATATCTTTAAAATCTTTAAATTGGCAATATGTTGGGAGATTCAAATCATTGTCTTTCGATTGAAATTGTGAGTTTTATCAAAATTTTGACAACATTCTTGCCCAATGTATAGAGTTTTCAGAGACATTACATTTTATTTAGCACTATAGCGATAAAAGAAATATATTATTTTTGCCAATTTGAAGAACAAAATGTGATCAATTTATCCTCCCAAAATAAATCCTGACCTAAAAGGGTCAACTCACCACATCAAATCTATTCACATCACTGGATAGAATATTGACCAACTTCCCGACTGTTGTTTGCCCCAGAGCTGAATTACTCAGACGTAAAGACTAAAGAAAACAAAAGAAAATTCACGTCAGTACAAGTATTAGGGGACAAAAGTACCATTTTAAACTTTTTTTTAATTCTTAATAACTCAAGTGATAAGACTCGTATCAGACCAAGATTTGCATCTAGTGTACAGTTGAAGGATGACAGTATCACTTGAAGTTCTGTGATATTTCTTCCAACAGCCTTTTCAATTGCATTGAATATTATATCAGATTTCAATTTTTGGCAATTGAAAGCTATGAATTCTGTGTGTATTCATAATCAAATCTAAAGCCGAGTGGTGTATTACAGTTATAATAAAAAATACCTACATTTACATCTATAATGTGATGTATCTATCCCAGGGGATGCTCAAGGCGCCTACAAAGTACCATCATTACCCTGGCTTTTGCCCAGCTGCCCTAAGGCGCTCAAAGCATTCAAGGAACACATTCCTACCAGCATACATGCCAACATTTGAAAATCAGAAATCTGTACAAATTATGCTATTTTAAAAAAAAGAGGAACAATCCTAACTCTCCTATTCAATACTACAGACAAATTTGTACAGGAAGAGGAACACCTGCATTAAAATGATAATTATCTTCTCCCCAAAAGAGGAATGTTCCTCTTTAATCTGAACAGTTGGCATGTATGCTACCAGGTACACATTAAAAACTACTGGGTGGAGGGTTGTATATAGATATATGTCTCGGCAAAGGACATTAGTGCCAGGCATTACTTAATGGCATTATTTTCACTGAATGTCTTATAAAAGAGTAACATACATTTAACCAGGTTCAACACTAACAGGCATCCAAAATCTAATTGTAAAATTCACGGGATTCCTGACTGACCTAAAGGTTTAAAATTATGATTGAAGCATGAGCTAAATCCAGAATTTTATTTCAGAATCTGAGGGAATGTTACTGGGTCACTTTAAAAGCTAGCTAACCTTTCTGAAGACCAGAGCACTGGTTGCGATGCGGACCTGCATGCCTACCCTGGACATCTGAAAGAAGTAGGGATGATGCAGGATTGTAGCGAAGGCGCCGCACAACGCCATCCCCAGGGCACAGAGGTAAGCCTGAGTGGGTGTGATTTTTGGCTCCGGAGAAAAGTAGGTGATGAGGAAGCTGAGAATGATGGGTTGAAGGAGTTTGAAGACACATTCCTGGGGAGAGAAAAACAAGGATTCGAGTTATTTCGTTCTTAGACATCTGGAAGAATACAAGATTTCCCAGGTAACAGTAACAGATTCAAGCCATTCCTTTCTCCTTCTTGGACATCTGGAAGATCTAAAGATTCCCAAAGAGCGACAGAAAGGGATTTGAGTCATTTCCTTTCTACTTTTAGGACATCTGAAAGAAGAATTCCTAGGGAGCGACAGAAAAAGATTCAAGTCAGTTTTAGAAGATTGAAAGAGCTGTGTTGGCTCAGTCGTTATGGCATCTGCCTGTCGAATCAAAGATCACGGTTCAAATCCAACCCAAATAGATGACTAAAGTCTTGGAAGTGAACTTGCCCTTCCCATATCATAGACGCAGGCTAAGTAACCTGTGTGTTTGGTTTATTCTGCAATGGTATAGGTGTTGTGGTCCAGTGGATAAGTCTCCGGACTGTGAACCACAACGTACAGGGTTTGGATCCCTGCCACAACACTAACGTCCTTTGGCAAGACGTTCATCTACATTTGCCACACTGCACCCAGGTGAGGTAAATGAGTTCCTTGTAGGATTATTCCTTGAATTGCACTGTGCACTGAAAACAGCTGCCAGAGCTAAAGCTAGGGTGATAATTTCCAAAGCTCTCTAGAAGCACATTGGGATGTTATATCATAATGTGTTATGCACTAAACAAGAACGGATTATCATTGTTTTGCTTTCAGCCAACTCACCTCAAAGAAAACTATGACCCCTGAAAAGGCTACTGGGCGTATGAAGGTTTTGATTAAAGCTCGGAGGAGGCTGGGTTTCTTTTCATGATTCTCATGTGCCTTCAGCTCCTTGTTCCAGTTTCTGAACAGGAAAAAAGAAGGAAAATTTTGAAAAAAATGAAGGAAAGAATGAACTTATGAATAAAATGAACAAATAAGGAAGATTGAAAGAATTAATGAAGGAAAGAAAGATGGAAAGAAAGATGAAAAGTAAAATAAAGGAAAACTGAAAGAAAAAAACCCACCAGGAATCACTAGCTATATATATATATATATATATAAAATATATATATATATATATAAATGCATGTAAAGCTTGGTGAACAATTATGAAACAGTATTCTTCAATTTACAAACCGGTAAGTTATGATCAAAATGTCATTCTAGAGAATACATGTATGTGTGTAGGTGTAATTATTTGTAGATTTTATCAGGCTGAAAATCTACATGTAGACTGACATCAGCCTGATTATTTCTGGAAAATTTCAGAAATAATAAGAATACATTTTTCCAGTTTTGAAGGCTGTGTAACATGGATTGGCAGCTCTTTGATTATGTCCACAACAGGGAAAAAATACACAGGGGCGGAGGGTTACTTCGCCCCCAAAATACCAAAAAGAGCCCCCCAAAAAGGCCCAAAATGTGATTACGGGGGCGACTTCAAAAAATGAAATGGTCCAAAATCGCCCCCGTAATAATTATTGCCGCATGACTACGAACGGTAGCTCTCTCCTAGCTAGATAGATTCAGCGCACGAGCGTGTATAACCGTTTACAAAAACAAACAAAAAATTAGCTGTGAATATATTGATCCATACCTTACCACATCGCGCGTACGTAAAAACCCATAAATCTTCGCTGGTGCAACTTTTTTTTTGATGGTTCATTATAGCTGAAACTAAACAATAAATGTAATGGAAATGTTCAAGATGGCTACAAAGCAGTCGCCAATTCTCCATTGGGGAGCTCTGATCACAATATCATCCAGTTGTTATCTCGATATAGGCAAAAGTTGAAGCGTTATGAACCTACAATAAAGAGAGGGAAAACCTTGTCCGAGGAAAATGCTGAGACTCTGAAGGCCTGCTTCGAATGTACTGACTGGGAAGTGCTTCTTGAAACTACATCACTTGAAGCAGCTGTAGAGGTAGTGACTGACTATATCAAATTTTGTAAGAATATGATAGTGCCAGAGAAAACGATCAAAATCTATCCAAATAACTAACCATGGGAAGACAAGCAGTGTAAAGTTATCCTAAACAAAAAGGCAGAGGCTTTTAAGCATAATGACTCAGATTTAGTGAAAGCAATAATAATAATTTATACACCTGTATGTCATTGATTGTTGTCATGAACATTTTCTAGAATATATTGAAGTTAGTATTGTATATTGGGAGCCAGGGGAGTACAAATAATTCCTCGTGCTCTCAACCAAGAGATTAAATTATATAACATTGTTATGTTATTTAAGTTATTTGTAGTTATTTGTTTATGATATGTTAATGTTTTGTTATATTTTATACAAATGTGAGTTGTTAATACAAATGTGAGTTGTAAGACTATTTTTATGCCTTCCCTATATTTGTGCATGACAATAAAGCAATTCAATTCAATTGTTGACATTTGCACGGGTAGCAAACATTTCATATGTTTATAGAATCACAACCTTGCCAATTTACCAGTTCATGCCCAAATTCAATTCAACCAATCAGTAAAAAACAAGTTACAATCACACTGGTGCTGGTACAATTACAATGAAGGTTATGGACACATAAGAAGCAAAGCTTGCAAATGGGGCCCAGTATCATACAATCGAATAAAATAAAAAGATAATAGAAAAGAAAACATATATATTTATGCTATATATGTACATAGTGCATGTGTGCGTATATACATGTACAGTACATGTACATGAACACCATACAACTGCTTCCTTTTAGGAAAACCAAGGGATTGTCATTTTAAAGATAAAGTTGAGTTCTGGTCATGCTATTACATTGTGAAAGAAATATTGTGGAATTGATCAGAAAGGGTTGATCATTTAGCATTAAGTATTGGTGTGTACTGCAAGGATCTGGAATCATCAGAATGATAAGAAATTTTGCCCAGTCTTGGTAAAGTTCAACAAGCACTGTAGTACACAGAAAGATGTATATGGGATGACGCTAACATGTAGCATAAAAATTTGTCCTGATTTTTATGATGATACATGCTATATTTAGAATATTAAGGCATTTGAAGAGCCATGCTTTTCAAGGAACATTTTTTATCTGATGTTCTTCCACACTTGCATAATACAATAATAACGCTCACAAATTATTTTTCACCTCTTCCCAGAACTCGGCATTCTCTTTAAAGAGAAGAAAAAATTAAGCTTGTTTTGTATCTCATGTTTGTATATTTCTTTATGTATTGGGTACGCCATTAATCAAGCCTTGGCTTTTAGGGGCACCCTGACCATTTATACTGTATTATTAATTTTCATACATGCATGATTTGCACATTGAATATCTATTTCAACTGGTTTTATAAAACAAATTGAATTATAATCCTAATTATTAATTAATTATTTTTTAAATATGGGAAATCAATTCATTTCCAAGTATTTATTTATTAAGAAATTTGAAGAGCAGTTCTTTTCAGGGGACATTGTCAAATATATGAACATTTATCAAGAAATTTAGTTTAAAAAATAAATACAGTGAATCGAAATCGCTTACCTTTCAAGTCTATCAGCAAGGGAATTGGAATCATCTTCGCTGCATATCCGATAGAGATCAGGCTGCTCTAACGTGTTCCTGTAGCCATACTTGAAGAATGGCAACAGCCAACTATGTATGATGAAATGATACCAGAAGAGAGACAGAGAGAGAGGGGGAGGGAGGGAGAGAGGGAGAGAGGGAGAGAGAGAGAGTGTGTAACAATATCTTCTGGAAGCATGAAACAGGTATATTGAATGATTGATTTCCGATTCGCTCTATTAAATATGCCCATTTCATATACAGTTTAAAGAGTTCTCATCTGTTCTGAAGCAAAAGTGTCGGAAACCCAATTTTCCGAAATAAAAAAAATGGCTGCTACTTTTGACACAGTTTGCTCTATTGACTTAAAGGCATCGTTTAACAATGTTAAATCTGAGATGCATGGCCCTATGTGTTATCAGTTTCTGTGATATTATACAAATAATGAATGGTTATGAGTTCAATAGTGCAAATATTTTCATGAGTTGAAAGATTAACATTCTATTCAACGAGGCTTTAGCCGAGTTGAATAGAATTAACGTTAATCTTTTAACGAATGAAAATATATGCACTATTGAATGAATGAAAAACATTCATTATTTGTTTTATACAACATCGAAGAAGATCTAATAGAACGTTAATCAACAAATTATGCTTTACTCCTTATATTAAAGATAAATTAAAGTTGGAGTCAAGCCTTCTCAATTACATTCAGATTGCCTTCGCGTCAGATACACGCAGGGATACGTGCACGGCAGAGAGGTACGCAGTCTGCATATTCAAATGCACGGCAAATATAACCAAAAAGGCATGCCCGTGCAATATAACATCTAATGAACATCATGTGACCAACAATCCTCCAATCAAATGACAAGGATCCACGTAGGTGTTGTATAAAATATAATATTGAAGCTAGGGCTGTGCACAACAGTGTAATGAGGTACCCGAGTACACTCCCAGGCTCACAAGCGAATACTCAAATATTCGGACGCCATGTTTTTTTACAATTTTTTTTAATTTTTAAAAAAAAAAATTGATTTTTTTTTTAAATTTTTTGATTTTTTTATTTTTTTTTCTTTTTTTCTTTTTTTGCCACTACCATACCACTCGGCAGTTTCCCAGGTCCCTCGCCGAAAATGCATGCAATTTTACTTTGAGTTGCAGTTGAAGGCGCCGATTTAATAAGAATAACAGTAAACAATGCTGTTTTAAAAACCAAAGATGGCAGAATAATCCATTTTCCTCCAAGTCCAAACAGAAATCTGGACATTTGGTCCCAGTTTCTGAAAGGTGAGTTTGACAGTGCTTGAGTTGGGAAACATTTTTACCGACGGTACCATGCCAGCGGCTGCCGCTCTCTCTGGCACGGGTAAGCGTGGGTCTGGACATTTTTTTTTTTTGCAGCCGAATATTCGGGTACGAGAAATCTTACCCAAGTAGTTGTCAACCGTGCAGGTACTCGAGCATTCGACTACCCGTCGCAGCCTTAATTGCAGCCCTAAAAAAGTTTGCTTCAAACGATCATGAAGTGTCTCAAAAAATTAAAAATCTTTGAGTGACTGGTTTTATCATACTCATTTATCACAATCTTATAAAAACCGTTAGGAAAATGAATTCTGAAATGTCTAATTCCAATCATAGATATCTTGATAATCAGACTGGCGATTGGCTTGTTAAAGTCATGGGATTCATGTATGACCTAAAGTTTTATAATTATGATTGCAGCATACTATTAAGCTAAATCAAAGATTTTTTTAAAGAATCTGCGGCAAAGTTACCCAATCCCTTTAAGGAAAGGAAAGGATCTGGAATTATAATTAACTGCAAATAAACATGACATAAGTCACGACTCATAATCTCATCATCTCATCTTCTATGATATAAATAGCGTATTGTCATGATGAAAGGATCGCACCGAGCAGGTACAATATGTAACAGTAAGTCAAAATGGAACTTGTTTAACTGCTTCATTTCATTATCATTTCCTATTGTTTAAAAATCATACAGCCCAAAGGCCCTAAACGTATTGAACAGCCATCCACTTATTTTTGAACTTTTGATCATAATGTTTGGTGTCATATGAAAGAGGAGAAAATGAGCTTTTCAAAGAAAAATGTGAAATTATCAAGTTATTTGCACATAAAAAAATTAAACTTGGGTTTCCTTTGTTTCAACTCACATTTTTATATGATTACGAGGACGAAAGCTTACGCAGTTAATTCATAATTGTACCCTAGCAATCGCGCCTGTCAAATTTGTCCCCAATGACTCGGATGACGATCTAGACCTAGCCGGTCTTTAGGTTTTTTAAGTCAAAGTGTCTAGACAGCCCCCCCCCCCCCCCCACCTTCCCCCCGGCCCCTTCCCCACCCATCATACCGATACTACTAGTTCACTGGCAATATCGTGAAATAGGCCCCGCAACTTACCCGTCTTGTAATCGATTACAAATCATGTTAGACTTCTAACTTCAGTCTTCAGCCAACATTTTCATGACGGACAGCAATAAAAGGGATATAAAAGTGAGTTAAAAAGGGGGTTGAAAGGGACTTATTTTTTGAATAAAAATTAGGAGGGAGGGGGGGGGGGGAGCGGCCCCCCCCAAAAAAAAATTAAAAAAGGAAAAATATTTAACTTAAAGATAAATTTAAAGAGAGGGGGGCGGGGGGGGGCCCCCCCCAAAAAAAAAAAAAAAAAATAATAAAAATAAAAGATAAATTTAAAGAGAGGGGGCCAAAATATTAAAAAGAAAAAATATCAAAAAAGGGAAAATTATTTTTAAAAAAAGGAAAAATATTAAAAAAGGTAAAATATTAAAAAAGTAAAAATATTAAAATAGGGTCTAAAAGATGAATTTAATCATTTAAATATAACCCTTTTTAATAATTTGCTAGCTTTATTCATTAAACCTCAAAACACCCCCTAAATTATACTTCGGTGAAAGAAGCCCCACTACCGTGCTGTCCGTTTTGAAAATACATTGGACGAGTATATAGTATAGTCGTGATACAGGCCCCACGTCTGTGTTGTAGAACATGCAACGCCGTTGCGCGGGGCCTACATCACGAGTATATATAGCGAGTTGAATAGGAGACTCGTATAGTATACTCGTGATACAGGCCCCGCGGCTGTGTTGAAGTGCGCGCGATGCCGTAGCGCGGGGCCTCGATAACGAGTATATAAGTATAGTCGTGATACAGGCCCCGCTGCTGTGTTGAAGTGCGCGCGATGCCGTTATGCGGGGCCTCGATCACACACATAGGAGCATCACTATCCTGGCTGTGTAGTAAAAGCTGTGCTTTTGATTCTCAACATTTCAAACACCACTGTACAAAACTCAACTGATTTCACTCAAAATCGGTACTTTAGTGACAATTGATGACACCTAAATAGCAGTAAAATACTTTTTTTTCAACTTCCTGATGTTAAAAAGAATAATTTAAAAATTCAAATTGTAAGTCTAGTGTCAAACTTTGCTTACAGCTGCATCGACATGATTGTGTACAGTCTATGCGATATTGTGTGGTGTGCAGGGCTCAAATTAATTTTTTGTCCACGGGGGCTCTTCCCCCGAAAAAAAGAGCCCCCTGAGCCTTCTCACGGGGGCTCTTTTATTACTGACGGGGGCTCTTTTTTTATACAAATATCCATTTAATTGGTACCTATGATACTCCTCAATTATTTGCTATTTCATCATTATCATTTCAATCAGCATTTTCCCTCTTACAAATTTACAAGCTACATAGCTGTTACTGGCCTGTGTATATAATATATACGCATACAACACTGATCTTTATGATGTCTTTAACGTGACATATCTTCTTCTCCCCTTGCAAACGAAAAAGAAAACATGGACATTAAAAGGGATTAAGCGACAAATAATGATTGTGATTCAAATTGATGCGAATATTTGTTTGAATAAGCACTGCTATTCACCCGAATCTTCTTTGTAAAAACAACTTTTACAAATCTCAGCCATGCTTACTGAGTTGAGACGTTCCATTCAATTTAAAATACCCATTACATAATACAATTCTCCTAATCTCAAAGTGATCTTACAGCACAGTGGCAGAATTGCATGGCTGAGATTTGTAAAAGTTGTTTTTACAAAGAAGATTCTGGTGAAAAGCATTGCTTATTCAAAAAAATCCTTGCATCAATTTGAATCACAATGATTATTTGTCGCATGGTCCTTTTATTAAATAACCTTGTTTTCTGTTTTGTTTGCAGAGGGAGAAGAAGCTATGTCACGTTAAGAAATCATAAAGATCAGTTGTATTATGCATATATACATACCAGAACAAATGTTGATTATCAGAATGTCATTTTGGAATACCTCTATACTAATACCACATTGTCTTTAGTCCGTATCAGTATTAGTATGATCCAATATAAAGCTATTATTCTTTATTTAATTCAGTATAATGCTTTTCCTCAAAAATAGTTTTGCTATTTTTTTAGGGGCGAGACGCTAAGAAATGGTTTCAAATGTACATTACACGAACCCTGAACCATTGCAAAATGATGGTGGTTCTCTCTCTCTCTCTCTCTTTATTTTAATTATGCATTATCAACTACATATAAAGCAGCAACCAAAAACTTAGGGTTATCTGAGATAGGTGAAAGTAAGAGTTAAAAAGAAAGTCATGCTAAAACGGCGCTTCACTTCCCACCGCCCCCTGAAAAAATAAAATAGATTATTAGTCCTCCTCTCCAGAATCCACCTCCCTCTCCCCCCCCCCCCCCCCCCCCCCCCCCCCGCTTTAATATCACATTTTCACTTGGCAGCCCAAGGGGGCCGGGGGTGGGAGGAGGGGGTTAAACCCCCTACCCCCCCCCCCTGCCGTAGATCTGCCCATGTTACCATATCATTCCACGACATTTTGGTCTTCCTCTTCTCCTCAAAAGGGACTTTTAGATTTGCGTGGACGTGGACGTGTTACATCCTTTTAAGGCACTGGCAATCACATGTGACGTCCTTTTAAGCACTGGCAGTGCCTTAGAAGGAGGTCACACGTTGCAGTCCACGTTCTCATCGTGCAAATCTAAAAGTCCCTAATATTGATTTACTGGTCGAGGTTCATTATTTGCTGACAACGAAAAACTTCTCCAGGCCATGACCATGTTTCTGCCCTTGCCCGATCGCCTCCAGCTCCAGCAGACATGGCGCGGCAGTGTGCGCACGCACCGCTACTTACGGCGCAGTAGGCCTATAACCACTGCTGACGGCGGCACTGCACTGCGAGCTGAATCGGTAATAATAGGCCTACTCATAAAACGAGAAATCTTGCACGCTAATCTTAGTTCCATTTCATTGGTTTAAGGTTTGAAAATTAAAACTCAATATTGTGTTAAAGTTATAACAGAAAAGATTATCTTTATTTTATAATTCCACCGGGGCGATTTTTAATTTTGCAATCGCCCCCGTGAGCAACCTGACGGGGGCGATTTTGTAGCTCACGGGGGCGAATCGCCCACCGCCCCCGTGTATTTTGAGCGCTGGTGGTGTGTATATTTGTGTATAGACTTATAGGTCCCTGCCTCACAGCATGTATGCAGTGCTAGAGGTCAATACGCTGTAGCATTGACTCTCTTAGACAGCAATAACCATCTGATTTGGGTCATTTCTTTAATAAAACTGACATTTGTTGTCATTCCCCAATACAGATGGCAACCCAGAGATCTCGTACCGTGGGGGTGGCTATAGGCCTATATGTGCATATTTTCGTCCACGACATTTTCTCCCCGATTTTCTTTATTTAGATCTAATTTCCTGATTTCTAAATCAGATGTAAATTAGGTCGGTATGTCATTTGTCCTAATTACAGATATCAAAATTTGATAACTCAATATTAAATGGATAATTTACGGACTTACTTATATGAATTATCCAATTTGTATCTCCGAACGTTCATGCACTCGGAACATAGGGCTATATGACCCGGCGGCCAAAATATTTCCGGGTCAACCTACCAAAACATAGCCAAATGGCCAATCAGAGCACTCGTTTCGTGGGAGTTCGTTGGTCAAGCTGGGCTTACTCGTACGTAGACCGAAAACTTCAGTCTCTCTAATCGTCGGTTGTTCCACTGAGACTACGTCTGGCTCCACTAGACCTCCGATTATAGAGACTGAAGATTGTCCTATCGGGACTGTACGGAACCAATGGTTCGGTTCGGCAGGACCGCGATGAATGAGATATGCTACGAGATTTTCACTCTTTACATCCTCACACATGCTGCAATATGACAATAATTAGAGTCTAATTAAAAATAACATATATATAGCTTATTTGACTTACGATAGCTTGCTCATTTAGATCCTAAATTAATGATTAATCCGAGAAAGTCTCGTCGTCAACATTATCCGTCTTGGTTTTAGTTGATGAATATTAATTTTTTCTTTTCGAACGTCCAATAGCTACCGTAGCTACATACGAGTCGGCCCGGCTTGACCAACGAACTCCCACGAAACGAGTGCTCTGATTGGCCATTGGCTATGTTTTGGTAGGTGGACCCGGAAATATATTGGCCGCCGGGTAATATTTCGAATGCATGAACGTAAGTGCTTCGCGGTTCTGAGGAACAAATTGGATAATTCATATAAGTAAGTCCGAAAATTTCACATTCTATAATAGGTTAGAAAATTTCGAAAACTGTAATTAGGAGATACATGTATATAGACCGACCTAATTTACATCTGATTTAGAAATCAGGAAATTAGATCTAAATAAAGAAAATCGGGGGAGAAATGTCGGTAACGAAAAGCTGTTACGCTGTGGCTCTAATTTACCCCCACGGTACGAGATCTCTGGGTTGCCATCTGTATTGGGGAATGACAACAAATGTCAGTTTTATTAAAGAAATGACCCAAATCAGATGGTTATTGCTGTCTAACTCGTACGTAGCTACGGTAGCTATTGGACGTTCGAAAAGAAAAAAATGAATATTCATCAACTAACACCAAGACGGATAATGTTGACTACGAGACTTTCTTGGATTAATCATTAATTTAGGATCTAAATGAGCAAGCTATCGTAAGTCAAATAAGCTATATATATGTTATTTTTAATTTGTGTTATAATTGCAGCAGTTATGAGGATGTAAAGAGTGAAAATCTCGTTGCATATCTCATTCATCGCGGTCCGGTCGAACCGAACCATTTGTTCCGTACAGTGCCTCACAGAAAGAGGTCCCCCAGACTTCAGTCTCTATAATCGGAGGTCTAGTGGAGCCAGACGTAGTCTCAGTGGAACAACCGACGATTTAGAGAGACTGAAGCTTTCGGTCTATGACTCTCTATGCTTTGCTGGAGTGCTCGATCACGAGTATATATATAGAGTAGAGTCTCCGGTTTGCGGCATCGCCCGGTTTGCGGCCAGGGGTATTTGTTGTAAAAATAAAATGAATATGACTCGATAATATTCATTGAAACCTACCGTGGATTCCACGGTAAGTTCTGCTTTGCCGAAAACGTCCGTAGCAGGTGCTCCTGTCGGTACTGAGTATCCGTCAGCGATGTCGGAAATCTACGGCACCAGTCGCCGATGAAAATTCCAGCAGGTGCTAACTTTTAAGTTAAGAGATCGAGGCATGACTAGATCAATATTGTAGCTCTATTTGTCCGATATTTGTCCGATTGGAGGTGAAATTTGATGTTTTTGTGGAAGTATGATGGCTGTGGTCTGTCTCCTATCGCAGATATTTTGAATGTGCCACCGCATGGCCAGTTGCATGGGGTGGCCGCAAACCGGCACGTAATTACGTGTTTTTTCTGGTTTGCGGCGGGGGGTGTTAATACACACATAACATGCGGGATCGTGTATGATGGTATGTGTGCTGATGTGTGTACCCGCTACGACCCGATAGTTTCTAGTAGTACGTACCCCCGTATGGGATGATCCATTCAAGGAAAAGGTGAAATTGTTTAAAACTTGACAAATTTACCGTAGCAACAGATAAACATGAGAATTTGGGTTACCCGTAGTAATTTGGTACATGCTTTCATCGTGACGTAGCGCATAAAGCTTTGTGACGTACGCGTGCCGCAAACCGGTACTGCGTGCCCGCAAACCGGGGAACTCAAAGCATTTCGAAACGTGGTCAATGCTGACCACGCTGTGGGTCAGTTATGTTATTTGTGACTTCTATTTAATAAGTAAGTATATGGACTCTTTATTGAGGGTATTGAAGTATTCTGTGAGTATTCCAATAAAAATAGAATCGGCAGTTCCCGCCGATCGGCCGCAGACCGGAGCCACTACTCTAGTGAGTAGATCTAGGCTGAAGTTAGAAGTCTAGTATAAAATTATAATCGATTCAAAACAATTGCGGGGCCTATATCACGAGTATGCCAGTTCACTTGCATTGCATTCATTTTAAACTAGACATCACGTGCACCTGATCACTCTCACCAGGGACTTGCTCTCACTAGACACTAGTCTCAGCTCAGTCAAACTCGGATGCTCGCTAACGGTCGAGGCCGAGGCAAGGTAGCGGGCTGCGCGCGTTGTATAAAGGGCTCAGCTGATGCCCCATTCATAATAAATGCAGCGACTGGCGTGTTGCGTTGAGGCACAAGCTAACTCACCAGAAAAACGTTTGAGACAAAATTCCACCCTTTTCTGCTGGATTTAGAGGGCCGTCTGTCATCTTGAACGTGGACTAGAACCGTCAGCTTGCGTATAAAATTTAGTTCTTACGACTATGTGTCTTCGACTTCATGTTCAATTCACAGCAGCTAGTAGCAGTGTCTCACCTCAGTCGATTTCTCTTGCTCAGCTGAAAATTGCGTAATCACAAATATAAGCTATGCGCTAGTCTCAGTTACAGATGCAGAAATATCTTGCGATACACCAGGGTATGTGAGTTAAAACACCTCCCTGGATACACGATCGCGAAACGTCGAGTTATGATGGTGGGGCGCCGCTCGGTCGGATGGGGGTGGAGGGGGGGGGGGGGGGGGGAGGGGTGCACACACACATATATATATATATATATATATATATATATATATATATCTGTTTATATATATACACACACAAATCATCTCTAATTGTTCTTGTTCTTATTCTTGGTCTTGCCCTTGTCGGTCTTCCGTTCGAGTTGTCCTTTTCTCATTCATGTTCCATTCTTCTTGTCATTATTTCCACCTAGCTCCCTCGAGCTCTTTTCCGTAATTTCCTCCGTCTTCTCTCTCTTTTACGTATAGTCCATACCTGCATTCGCATAATAATGCTCATGTAATTTACTTAATTTTGAATACATTTAGATCTACACCGGCCTAGGCCAAGTCTACTTTCAATTTATTGGACACAGCACCGTGCAGGTCAATTAGGCCTAAAATAAAAACTTGTTGTATTGCCCTTTGCGACCGACCCAAAACTCTGAAAATCTACGGTCGGCATTTTAATTTTTTTTTTTTTTTTTTTTTTTACCGTTCTAGATTTTAAAAAAATTATTAATGAATACAAAAAATATGTATTTTGTTTCTTGGGATAAATTGGATATAAGTGCATCAAATCAAATCATTCCCAAATTAAACATCTCGATCAACACAACATTGCAATCCATAGATTATTATGAGGTAAAAAAGATATGAATGGAATGATGACGCTGAAACATAATTATATTAAAGCATTACAAACTGAGAAATATCAGCCAAAAGAGGGCGGGAAAAAAAGAAAAGAAAAAACACATTAAAAACAGAAAAATATCGGCCCAAATTTTTTTTTTTTTAAAGAGGCATGTTCCCCGTATTCCAGAGGGCGTTCAAAATACGTACCCGCTGGCGGACGGTGCTAGCTGCCTATTGACACCAACAGAATACGGCTCTTACGCAGATGGCATGTTCCGAATGCCCGGACAATACCGATTATCACATACATGTGCCGAAGTAATGCCAATCGCAGTTCGGCTCTAAGATTCGGCTGCTGTTTCCGCCCACTTTCGTGACGTCGCGATCGTCAGCGATCAGCTGGCTTGGCGAAGGCAGGCCAGGCCGCGCGTACTTTGATTGACAGCTGTATGCAAATTAGAAGTCGATCTTCGGAACCAAGATGGCGATGACTAGAGCAGCGATAACTACACTGGCGGGAACGTGCCACTTTAAATAAAAACTTTTCCGACCGACCGACCCATGTTTTGGCACCCAAAGGGCAATACAACAAGTTTTTTTATTTTAGGCCTTATGTAGCCATATGCATGCAACTTTAGGCAGCCCAACTTGAGAAATAAACTGTCCAATAAGGGTCAAAATCTATAATTACTAGACCTACTACAAAATGGTGTGAAAAATGAATTTTTTTTTAAGGCAACACAGATAATTACGAAAGACCATTAGTGCCACGAAGAAAAAAAAACACACTTTCTACTAATCTGTTTAAACAGATTACGATATTTCTTCTAATCTGTTTAAACAGATTATAATCTGTTTAAACAGATTACGGTATTTCTACTAATCTGTTTAAACAGATTACGGTATTTCTACTAATCTGTTTAAACAGATTACGATATTTCTTCTAATCTGTTTAAACAGATTATAATCTGTTTAAACAGATTAGTTGAAGTACTGTAATCTGTTTAAACAGATTAGTAGAAATACCGTAATCTGTTTAAACAGATTAGTAGAAATACCGTAATCTGTTTAAACAGATTATAATCTGTTTAAACAGATTAGAAGAAATATCGTAATCTGTTTAAACAGATTAGTAGAAATACCGTAATCTGTTTAAACAGATTAGTAGAAATACCGTAATCTGTTTAAACAGATTATAATCTGTTTAAACAGATTAGAAGAAATATCGTAATCTGTTTAAACAGATTAGTAGAAATACCGTAATCTGTTTAAACAGATTAGTAGAAATACCGTAATCTGTTTAAACAGATTATAATCTGTTTAAACAGATTAGAAGAAATATCGTAATCTGTTTAAACAGATTAGTAGAAATACCGTAATCTGTTTAAACAGATTAGTAGAAATACCGTAATCTGTTTAAACAGATTATAATCTGTTTAAACAGATTAGAAGAAATATCGTAATCTGTTTAAACAGATTAGTAGAAAGTGTGTTTTTTTTTCTTCGTGGCACTAATGGTCTTTCGTAGATAATACATATGTGGGGGGGGGCGGCGCCCAAGATAGCATGATTTTGTGGGGCCCATCTGGGTTTAGCTGGTTACAGCCAGCCCATCTATAGTGGCCCACTTGGCCGCCAGATGGGCCCTCTTGTGGGGCCCAGCAATCTGCAATCTGCACCCGGGTTATAGAAGGGCCCTAGATGGGCCCCACAATTGGCCCAGCAATATGCACAAGGGTTACCTATTGGGCACCACATTGGTACTTGTGGGTTCTGGGTGGGAAGGCCCATCTGGTATACATCTGGTTTTTATATGGACCACGTGGGCTCCGTATACCCAGCTGTGGGTTCTTGGTGGGAAGGCCCATCTGGTATACATCTGGTTTTATATGGGCCACGTGGGCTCCGTATACCTGTTGGCTCTTGGTGGGAAGGCCCATCGATCTGTATACATCTGGTTTTCAGCTGGGCGAAGACAATGTTCGACGTGCGATTTTCACCTCCAAAAACTCACATGGGGCCCACATGGTGCCCATATATGCGTGGGTTCTAGGTGGGAAAGCCCATCTGGTATACATCTGGTTTTTGTATGGGCCACGTGGGCTTTAGTCAGCCCATACGAAACCCAGATGGGCCCCAGATATTTTGATATCTGGGGGGGGGGGGGAGGGGGTGTGCACTGCACCCTGATAATTTAAACCTGTCAATATTATGGCAGCGAGCTATAGGTGCTTTTTTGTAATATTTCATGTCTCATTTAGTATATTTTTTTTGACAATGTAAAAAGTGTCACACTGTTTGCTCGGTACCTTTTAGAAACTCGATGTAGTAATTGGAATTTCAAAGTTGATATTCGAATTCGAGGCATGCGCAGTGGCGTACGCAGGATTTTTTCAAGGGGGGGGGGGGGGGTTAAAATCGGGTCCAAAATTTCGCAACGACTCAGGAAAATTTGAAAATCGCGCCGGCCAAAAAGTCGCTCAGTGGGGGTGGGGGTGGGGGGTAAGGTCACCTTTCTTAGGTCAGCCATGGGGGTATTTTTTTTTTTTTTTTTTTTTTTTTTTTAATATCCAAAGGGGGGGGGGGTTTAGGGATTTTTTAGGGGGGTTTACACACATAAAAATACCAAAGGGGGGGGGTTAACCCCCCAAACACCCCCCCTGCGTACGCGCCTGGGAATGCGTATACCCATTATGCTCTTGTTATTTGGGTACTGGCCCATAATATGGCGCCAGATACCAAAAGATGCCGAGGTGCTTATTTTGTGGTATCATGTAATTTACTGCAATATGTTATTTGTTAAGTGCTGGAAGGCTATATTTACAGTCAGATGCAACTTCGGAAAACAGAGTACACTTGGAAAACAGCCAATAACGCTGTGAATAGAGCGCCCTCAATTTTAAATGCGAGTAAGTGTATACTACAATATAGGCATGGGGAAAATCTGTCAAAGTCAACCAACAACACCCAACAACCTGCTCTGACCGCGGCGTGTCGCGACTTCGTATCTATCCGAATGTCGTATAAACGACGTTCACACAACGAAAATTTACTTTAAAGCTGTTTAGTTAAGGAGCTTTAAACTAAACAGCTTTAGATACGATGAATTTTACCCGTGTGTGGAAAGGCTGCAATTGTCGATGGATGGATGGATAGATATAAATAGATATAGATAGATTGATGGATAGACCGTGGACAGTAGACCTACTTATTCTCAGCCAAACACTACAATCATGATTATTTCAGGGAATAAAAAGCTACACATAACTTCTCATGGCGTTGAAATTGACATGATGTTAAAGAGCATACGATATGATGTAGTTGGCGCACCCCTCACGTTCACACCCACCCTCTATCACCACCCAAGGATCCATCACCATCAACAGCTATACGGAAGAAAAGGTAGTCCTGTTGGTCTTCCGGTCGCTACTTCTTTATGGTTCTGATTAACAGACAAAAACAACTTTGAGGGCACACTAGATAGATGGATCACGCGCAACATACTGGAATTTAGACCGATTATCGAGTAATCTTTTGAAAATATTCAAACTTGGTGCTGTGACCGCAGATCGACTGATCGAGGAAGATTGTTTCAGTCGGTGATAACCCTTTGGCTGAAGAAGTGCCCTTTGAGATTGAGTCTGAAATGTTGCTTGAAAATTTTCAACGAGTGACCTCTAGTTTCGCGGGATGCATCGCGAAAAGCTTGTCTAATGGGCAAAAGTCAATACCATGCAGAAATCCGCTGATAAATAGGCCACCTGTCTATAGTGGTCACCCACATTGGCTTCCTCTAGAAGGAAATGCACGTTGAAGAACCTTTCTATAACGGGCACCTGTCTAAAATGATCCCCTTTTGTGTTCCCCTTAGATGGCCTTTATAGACAGGTTTGCCTGTATTTGAATATAACGAAACATTAAAAGGTAAAAAAAAAAAAAAAAAAGTAAAATACACCGTCGATGTATAAAACGCTATATAAACCCATATTGTTATTATAATTAAAGCAAGTAAAGATATGAACAGAATGATGCTTAGATGATGCGGTGTGTGTGTGTGTGTGTGTGTGTGTATTCATATTTGATATTCGAGGTGTGCATTTTGTTGTATCAACGTTGCTCATTGTAGTTAGTAAGCAAATAGTTACCGTTGGTGAAGGTGATAGTTTGCGATCGCCTGAAACCAAAAAGGTGATTATTTTCTTTATATTCCACATCGGAAATATTTCGCTTCTTCCGTCATTTCAGAGCAAC